TAGTGGTAACATCAGATATTAGCATCTCGTTGCTGGAAGATAGCATTGAATTGCCTCTCTAGGCATGTTGTAGGTCCTCCAGCAAAACTATATGGTTGCTCCTGGTATCGCGCTCTATACTTTGTCCCTCTAGGAATTTCCTAGGTCCTCAGTTCAGACTCTAATGGTAATATTAGATATAAGCATCTCGTTGCTGGAAGATAGCACTGAATTGCCTCTCTAGGCATGTTGTAGGTCCTCCAGAAGAACTATATGATTGTCCCTCTAGGAATTTCCTAGGTCCTCCATTGGGACTCTAGTGGTAACATCAGATATTAGCATCTCGTTGCTGGAAGATAGCATTGAATTGCCTCTCTAGGCATGTTGTACGTCCTCCAGCGGAACTATATGGTTGTCCCTCCAGGAATTTCCTAGGTCCTCCGTTGAGTCTTGTAACATCAGATATTAGCATCTTGTTGGTGGAAGATGGCATTGAATTGCCTCTCTAGGCATGTTGTAGGTCCTCTAGCGGAACTATATGGTTGTCCCTATAGAATTTCCTAGGTCCTTCGTTGAGACTCTAGTGGTAACATCAGATATTAGCATCTCGTTACTGGAAGGTAGCATTGAATTGCCTCTCTAGGCATGTTGTAGGTCCTCCAGTGGAACTCTATGGTTGCTCCTATTGGATATTCATAGGTATTGCACTCTATAGTTTGCCCCTCTAGGAATTTCCTAGGTCCTCCGTTGAGACTCTAATGGTAACATCAGATTGTAGGTCCTCCAGGCTGTCCAATAAATGAAACAAACCCACTTTGACGGCAACGGCAATCCTTTGGGGGGCTGTATGTCGAGATCAAAGCCGGTCAACCCCATTTTACACCCCCCAAAGCTCACCCACACGCACCCATTTCTCCGTGGTCCTTTCTCTCCCTTTCCCTTCGGCCTCCTCCTTGCCTTTAATGTGATTACAAATGCATTTACCGAAAAAAGATCCCAGCTGCCTGCGGAGATAATCTCACTCTTTCTAATCCCACAGAGAAGAGAGCGAGGGCGAGGAAGGGGGGGACGTGCACCACTTTCCGAGGGTCTTAACCCTCCCGCGCCAGGCTGCTCCCAAAAATATGGCAATTCTATGGCTTTGGGGTTATTGTGAGTTTTCCAGGCTGCCTGGTCATTCTCCAGAAGCATTCTTTCCCCACAATAATACCGCACAAGCCAGTCAAGGTGGTCCCAGTGGTGATTGGTGCACTGCAGACCTTGGCCTGCACTTAAAAACAGTCAGCGCTGACAAAAATTACCATCTGTCAGCTGCAATAATAATAATGATGATGATGATGATGATGATGTGTTAAAATCAATATCTATGCATATAATAAAAGTGGAAATATGTATGTGGCTGGGTTATCAATTTACACAGACACGGTCCCACTTCCACAAGTAGCTATAACTCCCACTATTCAATAGACATTGCAGGTTATAGTGAGAGCTATGAACATGTCCATGAACACCATATTTCCCACCACCCAAGAGAAGGCTTTCAGACAAGGACAATGCCATCCTAGATGTTCTGTTTTTTCTCCACATCCCAGGGTTCCTTTCTCTCTCCATTGGTGTGGAATTTGCCATAAACATGCCCAAGAGCCCTGCCAATGTCCTCCACCAACACCACACTGCCCACTACCCAAGAGAAGGCTTTCAGGCGAGGACAATGCCATCCTAGATTCGATATGTTTCCTCCACCACAGACATCCTAGTGTTCCTTACTCTCTCCATTGGTGTGGAATTTGCATGATCATGCCCACTGCCTCTCCCTTAACCATTTCCTATTCTTTTCTATCTACTAACAGAGGAATTGATCAGCAACTGAACATACTAGAGAGTTTTGGGGAGAATTTGCCATGATGTATAGGAGTTGTAGGTCCTGGGATGTATAGTTCACCTGTATTTGAAGAACAGTCTGAACTCCACCAAAGATGGACCCGGAACTAACTTGGCACACAGAAGCCCCATGGCCAGCAAAAAATACTGAATATCCTTGGAGGGATTTATAGGAGTTGTCGTTGGAGGGATTTATAGGAGTTGTAGTTCACCTACATCCAGGGTGCACTCTGAACGTAAACAATGATGGATCTGGACCAAACTTGGCATGCACACCCAATATTCCCACATTTGAATACTGGTAGGTTTTGAAGAGAATTGGCCTGGACATTTTGGAGTTGTAGGTACTGGGATTTATAGTTCACTTGTAATGGAATAGCACACTGAACTCCACCAATGATGGACCCGGAACTAACTTGGCACACACAACCCCCATGACTAACCAAAAATACTGGAGGTCTTTGGAGGGATTTATAGGAGTTGTAGTTCACCTACATCCAGGGCGTACTCTGAACGCAAACACTGATGAAGCTGGACCAAACTTGGCACGCATACCCAATATGCCCACATTTGAATACTGGTGGGTTTTGAAGAGAATTGGCCTGGACATTTTGGAGTTTTAGGTTCTGGGATTTATAGTGAAGACACTGTGAAGACTTTCATACAGGGAGCATTTCATCTGTGATTGAACGTGTTTCCTCCAGCACAAACATCCCAGTGTTCAATGTATTTTCGAAGGGTTTCATGGCCAGAATCACTGGGTTGCTGTGAGTTTTCCGGGCTGTCCGGCCATGTTCCAGAAGCATTTTCTCCTCAGAGAAAATGTCCTCAGAGACCTCACAACCTCCACCATAGATGTGGGCAAAACATCAGGAGAGAATGCTTCTGGAACACGGCCAACCCCAGCCCTGACTCTGTATCTCTCGTCCTTTCAGATGAACAGGCCGATCCAGGTGAAACCGGCGGACAGCGAAAGCAGAGGAGGTAACGACGCAACCGGAGGAGTTTGGGGAGGGTCTCTAAGTAGGTTCCCTATATAGATATACGTATATATATATATATATATAGGTTCCCCCCCCAAATCCATTATTGGTGTGATCTAAATGGAGGTGTCCCTCAGAATAAGGGGTGTCCACCAGACTCACAATGGACAGGTCTCGGATACGGGACGCCCTTTAAAATGAGGACCCCATATCGGGAATGAGCATTCGGTCTCCCAAATCAGGGGTGTCCCATCTCATCGGGGAAACCCAGTGTCTGATCCACGTCTCCCTTTTCCCCTCCAGAAGACCGGAAGCTCTTTGTCGGGATGCTGGGGAAGCAGCAGACGGACGAGGATGTCCGGAAAATGTTTGAGCCCTTCGGGAACATCGACGAATGCACTGTCCTCCGCGGGCCTGATGGCACCAGCAAAGGTGAGCGGAAACGAGGGGAGGGGATTCCACACTCACCCCGAATTCTCTTCATTGGGTCCAATGGGAGATGTTCCTCCAGGAAGTCCCTCCATATCTTCGTTGGGTCCCATGAGAGATGTTCCTCCAGGAAGTCACTCCATATCTTCGTTGGGCCCAATGGGAGATATTCCTCCAGGAAGTCCCACCAAGCAACTGTAGGGGCGCCAAAGTATGTTTACCGATCTGATATCTTCATTCCGACCAAAGGGAGATGTTTATCCAGGAAGTCCCTCCATATCTTCATTGGGTCCAATGGGAGATGTTCCTCCAGGAAGTGACTCCATACTTCATTGGGTCCAATGGGAGATGTTCCTCCAGGAAGTGCCTCCATACCTTCATTGGGTCCAATGGGAGATGTTCCTCCAGGAAGTTCCTCCATATCTTCATTGGGTCCAGTGGGAGATGTTCCTCCAGGAAGTCCCTCCATATCTTCATTGGGTCAAGTGGGAGAGGTTCCTCCAGGAAGTCCCTCCGTATCTTCATTGGGTCCAATGGGATATTCCTCCAGGAAGTCCCTCCATATCTTCATTGGATCCAATGGGAGATGTTCCTCCAGGAAGTCCCTCCGTATCTTTATTGGGTCCAATGGGAGATGTTCATCCAGGAAGTCCCACCAAGCAACTGTAGGGGCGCCAAAGTATGTTTACCGATCTGATATCTTCATTGGGTCCAATGGGAGATGTTCCTCCAGGAAATCCCTCCATATCTTCATTGGGTCCAATGGGAGATGTTCCTCCAAGAAGTCCCTCCATATCTTCATTGGGTCCAATGGGAGATGTTCCTCCAGGAAGTCCCTCCATATCTTCATTGGGTCCAATGGGAGATGTTCCTCCAGGAAGTCCCTCCATATCTTCATTGGGTCCAATGAGAGATGTTCCTCCAGGAAGCCCCTCTGGACCTTCATTGGGTCCAATGGGAAATGTTCAGGAAGTCCCTCCATATCTTCATTGGGTCCAATGGGAGATGTTCCTCAAGGAAGTCTTCATTGGGTCCAATGGGAGATGTTCCTCCAGGAAGTCCCTCCAAGCAACTATAGGGGGCGCCAAAGTAGAAGTATGTCTACTGATTTGATATTTTCATTGGATTCATGGGGAGATGTTCCTCCAGGAAGTCCCACCAAGCAACTGTAGGGGGGGGGGGGAGGGCAAAGTATAAGTATGTTTACCAATCCAATATCTTCATTGGGTCCAATGGGAGATGTTCCTCCAGGAAGTCCCTCGATGGAGTTGTAGGGGGCACCAAAGTATAAGTAGGTCTACTGATCCGATATCTTCATTGGGTCCAATGGGAGATGTTCCTCCAGAAAGTCCCTCCACGCAACTGAAGGGAGCACCAAAGTAGAAGTATGTTGGACCTAGAGATTCCTAGAGGGAGTACTCATCCAGCAGAAGTTGACCACAGTCAATCCTTATGTAGTCATCTCTAGGTCCTGTAGAATGGTTCTCACTCTACAGACTTATGCTGGAGGACCCAGATTCCCAATGAGAACATCTCTCTAACATTATTTGGTTGTCCACAGTTGACCATAGGGTTGTGTGCTGGAAGACCTTGCAGGGGCGGGGCAAAAGGGGAGCTCCGCCCCTTCCTCAGACCCTACTGATGTTACCTCTTCTTCCCCGAATCAGGCTGCGCGTTTGTGAAGTTCCAGACCCACGCAGAAGCGCAGGCGGCCATTAACACGTTGCACGGCAGCCGCACTTTGCCCGTGAGTATGCCGCCATTGAAGAGAATGTGGATTTCCCCCCATCATTTTGTAGAAATGCAATGCTTCCATTGCCTCTGTCGCCCCCAAGTGGTCAATTACGTATATTACATCTTCTCCAAAATTTCATTGGAAACTCCTTCTCTGTTGGGTTGTATATTCTATTTTTAAAGATAAAGAGTGTCTATTTCTTCAAGGGCGCCTCCTCCAGCCTCGTGGTCAAGTTTGCGGACACCGAGAAGGAGCGAGGCCTCCGGCGCATGCAGCAAGTGGCCAACCAGCTGGGCATGTTCAGCCCCATTGCGCTGCAGTTTGGGGCTTACAGTGCCTACACCCAAGCAGTAAGTGCTCCAAGCGGAGAAGCATCTTGTTCTCACATGGTAGATAATCAACAGAGATAGCTGGAGGTGAAAGTTAGCTAGAGATGGAATACAGAGGTAGAGTAGAGAGATGGAGATGGGAGCTAGAGAGGAGAGATAGATGGTAGATGAGAGCTAGATATAGATGGTGGAGATGATCAAGATGATAGAAAGCTAGAGATGAGGGTTAGCTAGAGATGGTAGACAGAGATAGCTACAGTAGACAGATGGAGATGAGAGCTAGAGATGAGAGGCAGATAGAAATGGTAGATAGGGATAGTTGGAGATGAGAGCTAGATGTAGATGGTGATGATCTAGACGATAGAAAGCTAGAGAGGAGAGTTAGCTAGGGATTGTAGATAACTAAAGATTGTAGATAGATACAGATAACTAGAGATGAGAGGTAGAAGGAGATGACAGGTAGATGATCCATAGAGATAGCCGGAGATGAGAGTTAGCTAGAGATGGGAGACAGAGATAGAGTAGATAGATGGAGATGGGAGCTAGAGATGAGAGATACATAGAGTTGGTAGATGAGAGCTAGATATAGATGGTGGAGATAATCAAGATGATAGAAAGCTAGAGATGGGGGTTAGCTAGAGATTGCTAAATATGGTAGATATACAGATAGCTAGAGATGAGAGCTAGAAGGAGAGGTAGATGATAGTCATAGCTAGAGATGAGAGTTAGCTAGAGATGGAAGACGGAAATAGAGTAGATAGATCTAGATGGGAGCTAGAGAGGAGAGATAGAAAGAGATGGTAGATGAGAGCTAGATATAGATGAAGAGGATCAAGATGATAGAAAGCTAGAGATGAGGGTTAGCTAGAGATGGTAGACAGAGATAGCTACGGTAGACAGATGGAGATGAGAGCTAGAGATGAGAGGTACATAGAGATGGTAGATAGGGATAGCTGGAGATGAGAGCTAGGTATAGATGATGGAGATGATCTAGATGATAGAAAGCTAGAGATGAGAGTTAGCTAGGGATTGTAGATGGCTAAAGATGGTAGATAGACACAGATAACTAGAGATGAGAGGTAGAAGGAGATGGGAGGTAGATGATCGATAGAGATAGCTGGAGATGAGAGTTAGCTAGAGAAGGGAGACAGAGATAGAGTAGAGAGATGGAGACGGGAGCTAGAGATGAGAGATACATAGAGATGGTAGATGATAGCTAGATATAGATGGTGGAGATGGTCAAGATGATAGAAAGCTAGAGATGAGGGTTAGCTAGAGATGGTAGACAGAGATAGCTATGGTAGACAGATGGAGATGAGAGCTAGAGATGAGAGGTACATAGAGATGGTAGATAGAGATAGCTAGGGATGAGAGCTAGACATAGATGGAGAAGATCAAGATGATAGAAAGCTAGAGATGAGAGTTAGCTAGGGATTATAGATAGCTAAAGATGGTAAGTAGATAGCTAGAAATGAGAGCTAGGAGATGAGAGGTAGATGATAGACATAGTTGGAGATGAGAGCTAGAGATGGTAGATAACTATAGTAGACAGATGGAGATGAGAACAAGAGATGAGATGATGCATAGAGATGGTAGATAAGGATAGCTGGAGATGAGAGCTAGATATAGATGATGGAGATGATCAAGATAATAGAAATCTAGAGATCAGGGTTAGCAAGGTATTATAGATAGCTAAAACTGGTAGATAGATACAGATAGCTAGAGATGAGAGCTAGGAGAGGAGAGGAGAGGTAGATGATCGATAGACAAAGCTGGAGACGATAGTTAGCTAGAGTTGGTAGACAGATAGTTAGAGTAGACAGATGAAGATGAGAGCTAGATATGAGAGATACATAGAGATGGTAGATCGGGATAGCTGGAGATGAGAGCTAGATATAGATGATGGAGGTGATCAAGATGATAGAAAGCTGGAGATGACAGTAACCTAGAGATGATAGATAGCTAAAGGTGGTAGATAGATACGGATAGCTAGAGATGAGAGGTAGAAAGAGAAGACAGGTAGATGATCGATAGAGATAGCTGGAGATGAGAGTTAGCTAGAGATGGTAGACAGCTACAGTAGACAGATGGAGATGAGAACGAGAGATGATACATAGAGATGGTAGATAGGGATAGAGATGAGCTAGATATAGATGATAGAGATGATCAAGATGATAGAAAGCTAGAGATGAGGGTTAGCTAGAGATTATAGACAGCTAAAGGTGGTAGATAGATACGGACAGAGATAGCTAGATGGAGATGAGAGCTAGAGATGAGAGATACCTGAAGATGACAGATAGGAATAGCTGGAGATGAGAGCTAGATAAAGATTATGGAGATGATCATGATGATGGAAAGCTAGAGATGAGAGTTAGCTAAGGATTATAGATAGCTAAAGATGAAAGCTAGGGATTATAGATAGCTAGAGATGAAAGACTGACAAATAGACAAGTAAGTAAGATCAACAAGACTGCAGGAGCCTTCATGTTGCGCCTCTCTCTCTCTCTGCCAGCTAATGCAGCAACAGGCGGCCCTGGTTGCCGCGCACTCGGCCTACCTCAACCCCATGGCGACCATGGCCGCGGTCCAGATGCAGCAGATGGCCACCATCAGCCCCAACGGCCTCATCGCCACCCCCATCACCCCCATCACGCCCTCCTCAGGTGAGTCCCGTGCTTAGGGCAGGCATCCCCTCATCGATGGTCACCTGGGGACATTGGGAGGGCAAAGGACACATGGACAGGTGTTTCCACCTGATTGCCTATGGAAAAGAGAATGGCAGGTTATGCCATGCTTCCACCTACAACCTATTGAGCAGAAGGAGTTTTGGATGAATGGGAGAGGCAACGAGGGTGAAGGTGGCAGCCATTGTGCTTATTCACCCTTATTCACCATCTTTGTAATTGATTTGCGTGTTTGATTCTATCTTAATATTTATATCTTGTTGATTTTAGATTATTTTAATACATAGAGATGAGAAATTGATATTATATGGTAGAGCTACAGAGATAGAGATGAAAGATAGATAGGATGGTAGAGATGGGAGATATAGATAGACATGAGATATGGAGATGAATGGATGGCTGGATAGATATGTTAGATAGATCGAAAGATAGAAAGATAGATAGATAGATAGAAGTGATAGATCAATAGATAGAGAAGATAGATCAATAGATAGGGATGATAGAGAGGAGAGATATAGATAGACGTGAGAGACGGAAATGGATGGATGGATGGATAGATAGATAGAGGTGATTGACAGAAGTGTTAGATCAATGGATAAAGATTGTAGATAAGATAGATAGATAGATATGATTGAGATGAGATATATAGATAGACATGAGAGATGGAGATGGAAGGATGGTAGACATAGATAGATAGAGGTGATAGATTGATGGATAGAGATGATAGAGAAGATGGAAAGTTAGATAAATAGGGATGATAGAGATGAGAGGTATAGAAATGAGATATAGAGATGGGTGGAGAGATAGAGGTGACTGATAGAAGTGATAGATCGGTGGATAGAGACGATAGAGAAGATAGATAGATAGATAGATAGATAGATAGGGATTATAGAGATTAGAGATATAGCTAGACATGAGAGATGGAAGTGGAAATGGATAGATAGATAGATAGATAGATAGATAGATAGATAGATAGATAGATAGATGTGATTGATAGAAGTGATAGATCGATGGATAGAGATTATAGATAAAGAAAATAGATAGATAGGGTTGATTGAGATGAGATATATAGATAGACATGAGAGATGGAGATGGGTGGATAGAGGTGATTGATAGAGGTGATAGATCGTTGGATACAGATGATAGATAGAGAATATAGATGGATAGATAGATAAGATAGATAGATAGGGATGAGAGATGTAGATAGACATAAGAGATGGAAATGGATGGATGGATGGATAGAGGTGATTGACAGAAGTGATAGATCGATGGATAGAGATTATAGATAAGATAGATCAATAGGGATGACTGAGTTGAGATATATAGATAGACATGAGAGGTGAAGATGGAAGGATGGATAGACCAATAGATAGATAGAGGTGACAAATTGATAGAGATGATAGAGAAGATAGAAAGTTAAGAGAGATATATATATAGGGATGATAGAGATTAGAGGTATAGATAGACATGAGAGATGGAAATGGATGGATGGATGGATGGATGGATAGATAGATAGATAGATAGATAGATAGATAGAGGTGATTGACAGAAGTGATAGATCGATGGATAGAGATTATAGAGAAGATTGAAAGTTAGATAGATAAGAGTGATAGAGATGAGAGATACAGATAGACATCAGAGATGGAGGTGGATGGATAGATGGGTAGATAGACCGATAGATAGATAGATAGATAGATAGATAGATAGATAGATAGATAGAGGTGATAGATCGATGGATAGAGATGATAGAAAAGATAGATAGAAAGAAAGATAGATAGGGATGAGATGAGAGAGATAAACATTAGAGACGGAGATGGGTAGATGGATAGAGGTGATGGATCAATGAATAGAGATGACAGAGAAGATAGAAAGAAAGATAGATAGGAATGATAGAGATGGGTGATATACATAGATATGAGAGATGGAGATGGAGGGATGGATAAATAAGATAGATAGATAGATAGATAGATAGATAGATAGATAGAGGTGATTGATAGAGGTGATAGATCGTTGGATAGAGATGACAGAGAAGATAGATAGGGATGATAGAGAAGATCGATATAGCTAGAGATGAGAGATAGACATAATGAATGGATGGATGGATAGAGGTAATGATAGATGGATGGATTGATGGTAGAGATCATTTATAGAGAAGATAGATGCAATAGATAGATAGAATAGATAATGTTAGGTACAGTTAGAGGTAAAAGATAGAGATGAGAGATAGCTAGCCATTTTGAGTCTCAAAGAGAATGTAGATAAATATAAAGGAATATGACCATTCTCCGCCAGGTACCAGCACGCCGCCTGCCATAGCCGCCACGCCGGTCTCTGCCATCCCGGCCACCCTCAGCGTCAACGGCTACAGCCCTGTCCCAACCCAGAGCACGGGGCAGCCCACCTCGGAGGCCATTTACACCAATGGCGTCCACCCATACCCAGGTAAGCCCTGACGCCCAAGGTCCTCTCTCGTCATGGATGCCAGAGGCGGGATGCTGGGTCAGTGGGACTGGGTATCCGAGTGCTTTGATGAAAAGCCATAATTTATCTCAAAAGTGTGTGATGTTCCCCTTCACTCCTCTCCACAGCACAGAGCCCAGCGGCCCCCGTGGACCCTTTGCAGCAGGCCTACGCCGGGATGCAACACTATACAGGTATGTGGGGTGGAGGACAGAGGCCCGGTACTCTGTTTCCAGGCGATGCTAGACAACTGATGGGTAGGTGAGTGGGCAATAGACAGATGGAGGACAGACAGACAGAGAGATGGCATGTAGATGAAGGATATATGGCTGTATGAAAGAAAGACATGGATGGAGGATGGATGGGAGATAGATTGACGAAAGATGGGTGGAAGATAGATAGATGGATGATAGATAGCTTATAGTTGGATAGAGGACAGAGGATATACAGACGGATGGATGATGGGTAGATACAGATGGATGGAGGACGGATGGGAGATAGGCAAAAGGTAGATGGATGATAGATAGCTTATAGTTGGATACAGGATAGATTATAGACATACAGACAGATGGATGATGGATAGATGGATGAATGATGGGTGGGAGATAGATCGTCAAAAGATGGATGGATGATAGATATCCCATAGTTGGATAGAGGATGGATGATAGACTTACAGACAGATGGATGATGGATTATAGATGGATGGAGGATGGATGGATGGACGAAAGGTGAATGGATGATAGATGGATGTAGGATGGGTGGAAGATAGCTGGACGAAAGGTAGATAGATAGCTTATAGTTGGGCAGAGGGTTGGTGATAGACATACAGACAGATGGATGATGGATGAACAAAAGGTGGACGGATGATGGATAGAGGGATTATAGCTTATAGTTGGATAGAGGACAGAGGATATACAAATGGATGGATGATGGGTATAGATGGATGGAGGATGGATGGGAGATAGATTGATGAAAGGTGGATGGATGATAGATAGATAGATAGATAGATAGATAGATAGATAGATGGATGGATGGATGATAGATAGCTTATAGTTGGATAGAGGACAGATGATAGACATACAGACAGATGGATGATGGATAGATGGATGGATGGAAGATGGATGGATGAAAGGTGGATGGATGATAGATAGATGGATGATAAATAGCTTATAGTTGGATAGAGGGTGGATGATAAGACATACAGACAGATGAATGATAGACATGGATGGATGATGGATAGGTGGATGATAGATGAGAGATAGATCAACAAAAGGTGGATGGATGATAGATGGATGATAGATAGCCTATAGTTGGATAGAGGATGGATGATAAACGTACAGACAGACAGATGTATGATGGACAGATGGATGTTGGATGGATGGAAGATAGCTGGACTAAAGGTGGATGGATAATAGATAGAAGGATGATAGATAGCTTGTTGTTGGCTAGAGGGTGGATGATAAGACATACAGACAGATGGATGATGGATAGATGTTTCCCCTCTGCTTGGCTAGTAAACCGAATGACTGCATTGTGAAATGATGGACTTCTAAAACGTATGTCACCCACATGAAATGTTTGGAAATCTCTGAATTGCGGGTACATCATCGTAATACAGAAATGCAGTGTGGATATACACTGTAGCCCTATGTGGTGTGGCCAGGTGTGACAAAGGGGTGAGGCCCCACAGGAGTGTGGTAGGACCCAAGGATGGCAACCAGAGGGTTCACCACACCCCGCTTCTCTCCACAGCCGCCTACCCCGCTGCCTACGGACTGGTCAGCCCCGCCTTCCCGCAACAGCCAGCCACCATCATCGCCCAGCAGCCGCCTCCTCAGCAGCAGCAGCAACGGGAAGGTAGGTTGGACCCGACTCTGAAACAAGTCCAGAATTTTGGAAAGAATAACATTTGCCAGTGTCACACTGGGGGCATTTTTGGCGGGTGAACCTATCAGGCCTAAAAAGGAGGAAAGACAAAAGGGAAGGAGGGGTAGAAAAAGGGAAGGAAGGGAGAGAAGGATAGAAGGAAGGAAGGGTGGAAGGGAGGAAAAGGAGAAGGAAGGAAAGACAAAAGGGAAGGAGGAAAGGGAGGAAAGAAGGAGAAATAGGGGGAAGGAAGGAAGGGAATGGAGGGCGGGAGGGAGGATAGAGAGAAAGACAAAGAAGGAAAAAGAGAGGGAAGAGGGAAGAAAAAAGGTAAGGGAGGGAGGAAGGATGGAAGGAGGGGGAAGGAAGGAGGGAGAGGAAAGAGAAAGAAGAAAGATGAAGGAAGGAAGGAGAAAGTGAAGGAGGGAGAAAAGGGAAAGAAGGGAGGAAGTGAAGGATGGAAGGAAGGGTGGAAGACAATGGAGGGAGGGAGGAAAGAGAGAAGGAAGGAAAGACAAAAGGGAAGGAAGGAAGGGAGAGAGGAAAGGAGAGAGAGGGAAGGAATTGAGGGCGGGAGGGAGGATAGAGAGAAAGAAGGAAAGAGGGAAGAAAAGGGAAGGGAAGGCGGAAGTGAAGGATGGAAGAAAGGAAGGGTGGAAGGCAATGGAGGGAGGGAGGAAAGAAAGAGAGAAGGAAGGCAAGACAAAAGAGAAGGAAGGGAGGAAAGAAAGAGGGGAAAGGAAGGAAGGGAATGGAGGGCTGGAGGGAGGATAGAGAGAAAGAAGGAAAGGCAAGGAATAAAGAAGGAAATAGGGAAGAAAAACGGAAGGGAAGGAGGAAGTGAAGGATGGAAGGAAGGAAGGGTGGAAGGGGATGGAGAGAGGGAGGAAAGAGAGAAGGAAGGAAAGACAAAGGGGAAGGAAGGGAGGAAAGGAGAAAGAGAGGGGGAAGGAAGGAAGGGAATGGAGGGCGGGAGGGAGGATAGAGAGAAGGAAAGACAAGGAAGAAAGAAGAAAAGAGGGAAGAAAAAAGGTAAGGGAGGGAGGAAGGATGGAAGGAGGGAGGGAGAGAGGAAAGAAAGAAGGAAAGATGAAAGGAAGGAGAAAGTGGGAAGGAGGGAGGAAAAGGGAAAGAAGGGAGGAAGAGAAGGATGGAAGGAAAGGAATGGAGGGAGGGAGGGAGAGAGGAAAGAAAGAAGGAAGGAAGGCAAGAGAAGGAGAGAAGGGGAAAGACAAAAGGGTAGAAGGGACGGAAGCAGGACAGGAGAAAGAGGGAGGAAAGGAAGGAAGGATGATGAGAGAGAGGAGGGCCCGGAAAAAAGAAGTCCAAGGGGCCGCATCCGGCCCTCAGGCCTAGGTTTCCCCATACCTTCCTCCCACTTCCTCTCCTCCCCCCATGCTCTTATAGGTCAAACGATGCATTGCATCGGCAGATTTTAGGCCTTAATCCAAGGTATGCGACGGGCGGCAAATTCGCCCTGGGACTTCAGCCAACGAAGGGCTGAAGGAAAGCTGATCCCTCTCCTTCTCATAAGCATTGCAATCCTGCAGCTAATCCAACCGATGGGAGGATTAAATGTTTTCCGACCCTCCTCCTCTGCGACTTAGGAACATTTTCTTCCGGAAGGGAGAATTCCTCAGTTCTGCGCAGAAAGTACGAATTTTTCAAGGAATATCTCAACCAATTAAGTCTTAGGTCAGTGTAGATGTATATAATGCGGCTTAATTGCACGAATTTGCATTATAATGAGTCCATACCAGGCATGGGCCAACTCGGGTCCTCCAAGTATTTGGGACTTCAACTCCCACAACATGGGTATGCAGATGATCCCTTGAAAGGAGATTCCATCTAAACTTCCTGACTGTGAGAGCTGTTCATCAGTGGAACTCTCTGTCACGGAATGTGGTGGAGGCTCCTTCTTTGGAAGCTGGATGGCCATCTGTTGGGAGTGCTTTGAATGCAATTTTCCTGCTTCTTGGCAGGGGGTTGGACTGGATGGCCCACAAGGTCTCTTCCAACTCAGAAATTCTATGATTGACTGCAGCGTCCAGTTCCAAGCATGGGCCAACTTGGGCCCTCCAGGTGTTTTGGACCTCAATTCTCACAACATAGGTATGCAGATAATCCCTTGATTGACTGAAGTTTCCAATTCCAAGAGGACAAAGCTATGGACCAACTTGGGCCCTCCAAGTGTTTTGGACTTAGAATCCGATAACACGGGTATGCAGATGATCCCTTGATTGACTGTGAGGACAAAGACATGGCCAACTTGGGCCCTCTACGTGTTTTGGACTTCAACTCCCACAATTCCTAACAACCTCAGGCACCCTTCTTTCCTCCCTCAGCTACTTAAGCCTTTGTTTACATTCAGAAGGACAAAACGGGCCTCAGGCTGTTAGACATGGTTGGAGTTGAAGTCCAAAACACCTGGAGGGTCCAAGCTGACCCATGCCTGGTCTATACCAACTGCATGGTCCATGAAGTCTCTTCCAACTCAACAATTCTATGATTGACTGCAGCACCCAGTTCCAAGAGGACCAAAGCATGGGCCAACTTGGGCCCTCCAGGTGTTTTGGACCTCAACTCCCACAACATAGGTATGCAGATGATCCCTTGGTTGACTGAAGTGTCCAATTCCAAGAGGACAAAGCTATGGGCCAACTTGGGCCCTCCAAGTGTTTTGGACTTAGAATCCGATAGCATGGGTATGCAGATGATCCCGATTGACTGTGAGGACAAAGGCATGGCCAACTTGGACCCTCTAGGTGTTTTGGACCAACTCCCACAATTCCTAACAGCCTCAGGCCCCTTCCTTTCCTCCCTCAGCTACTTAAGCCTTTGTTTACATTCAGAAGGTCAAAACGAGGAACTTCTGAATCCTGGACGAGCCCCCATTATTCACGCAAGCGGCTGAGAAGGAAACAGGCCTAAGGCTGTTAGGCATGGTGGGAGGTGGGAGTTGAAGTCCTTCATGGTGGGAGTTGAAGTCCAAAACACCTGGAAAGTGCAAGCTGACCCATGCCTAGTCTATACCAACCATATAATGCGGTTTGAAACTGTATCTCGAGTCCAAACCTGCTTCTGCCATGCCTTTGATTTGGGTTATTTCCCCCCAAAATATTTCCAATCTGTATTAGAGGATGATTAATTTTTTTAAAAAAATAGTCGTCTTTAAATAAACCAGTTGGAAAGTTTTCACAAGACAGCGATACTCACAAGCTGGACGTATAACAAAAGCAGCACTGAAGTGGTTTTTCTCCATTCCTTCCTGTATCACGTTGCTCTCCCGACCTTCCTCCTCCTCCTCCTCTTCTTCTTCTTCCAAGGAGCTCAGAGCTGTTGGTCTTCACCAGGTAGGCCGGTTGTCCTCGCTTCAGCCCTGAGAGTCCTCTAGACCAGGGGTGGGCAAAATGGGGGGCCCGTTTCCCATCTTGTTTCCATAGCTCTTAGGGGTCCCCCCCCCCAAAATTTCCAATTTGTCCAAAGTGTCCCCAGTTGACCTCTAGGGTTATGGAGGCACATTCCTATCATGTTTGGTGGCCCCATGGTTACTAAAATTACCCTCCCAATTGCCCTATCTTTACACTTTACACTTTTCAGTCACACAAATGAGCCACATTTATTTATTTATAGTATTTATGCCCCGCCCTTCTCAGAGCGGCTCACAGAACACACACACGGCAAACATTCAATGCCAATTGTACAATTAACTAGGACAGACAACACAGAGGTGAAAGCAGTTTTTCCTATCTTATTTCCGGCGTCTTGGAGGCTATGCTCGACTCGGCCACGGGGGTGGTGTTGCTCCATCTTCCATGCTGAGGAGCTTTCCTCTGACCAATGTCCTTAAGGGCGCCTTTATTACCTCCCCGTTAAAAGCGATAACTATTTCCCCATCGTGGTCCCTGTGAATCGCACATATGGTATTTCCTGTGCCTGTGCAGGCAGTTCGGAATCTTCTATTTATTTATTTTATTTATTTACTTTATTTGTATACCGCAGTTTCTCAGCCCGTAGGCGACTCAACGCGGTTAACAAGAGCAAAAATTCAATGCTAACAACACACTATTTAAAAACAATTAACACCGTACTATACTAAGTAATTACACATCAATAGACAACACATTAACATCTCGTAACTAGAATCGTGATCCAATTTTAGAAAACTTATTAGACACTGTTAGGCAGTAGCCCCGCCCACTCTCCCCTTGAGAGTATATATATAGCCAGTGAATTGTCTGCGTAGGCACAGGAAATACCATTTGTGCCAATTCACTGGTGATCACTCGGGGAACTACGGTTACAGGTAAGCAACCTATACATGTGGGGACATGTGGGAAGCCTCCCACGGGAAAGTAACACATCCAGGTGTCCCCTGGGCAATGTCCTTGAAGACAGCCAATTCTCTCACACCAGAAGCGACTTGCAGTTTCTCAAGTTGTTTCTAACACAAATATATGTGTGTGTGTGCGCACACATGTATGTGTGTACCCACACACATAGGGCTTTTACTGTTGGTGGTACTGAAATTAGTGTGTCTTGGAATTGAAGAAATACATTAGCTAAAAATCACATAAAAGCATTAAAACCGGTTGCCCACCCCTGCTCTAGACCGAACCCAAAATTTGGGATTGTTTTCCCATTCGCCACAAAGTAGGAGTTTTCAAAGCCCGCAACGGGACTGGTCGACTCCCCTGGTCCCGATGCCTGTCCAACCTACGATTCTCCCCCTTTTCCTTCTCTTCCCCTATGTTTTTCTCTCCTGTTCCCCCTTCTGTACCTGGCCTTGCCTCGGTAGGTCCCGAAGGATGCAACATCTTCATCTATCACCTGCCGCAGGAGTTCACGGACTCTGAGATCCTGCAGATGTTCCTGCCGTTCGGGAACGTCATCTCCGCCAAAGTCTTTGTGGACCGGGCCACCAATCAGAGCAAATGTTTCGGTAAGGAAAGCTACCTATTTATTTATTTATTTATTTATTTCTCGCACTTCTACCTCACCCTTCTTAACCCGAGTGGGGACTCAGGGCGGCTTACAAAAGGCACAATTCGATGCCAACACAACAATGGTGCCATTTCTGAAATCAACAGGCCAAATGTACCTGGAATCAGGTCTAGCATTTGAGGCACCAAAAGGTGTGTTGGCCAGTGTTAGGATTTGTATTCATTACCCATACACGAATATTTAAATTGTATCTGCTTTCTTTTAAATTGTCATTAATTTGGCAATTTTTAAAAAAGCAAATACAATTTTTTTTAAACTGTCTAGTGTCCCTATGGGGAGAAAGTCAAGATTTAAATAAAGTTAATAATCTATATAAATAAAAATGTAATTGTAATTCTATCATCTATCCTATCATCCATCCATCTATTGGGACCTGGAGGTAGACCTCTTTTAGATCTATTCTATTACCTATCTATCTATATATCTATCCTATCATCTATCTATATATCTATTGAGACCTGAAAGTAGGCCTCTCTTAGATCTATTCTATCATCTATCCTATCCATCCATCTAATGGGACCTGGAGGTAGGCCTCTCTTAGATCTATTCGTCTATCTATCTATCTATCTATCTATCTATCTATCTATTCTATCATCCATTATTCTGTCTATCCTATTATCTATCTATCTATCTATCCTATTATCTATCTATCCTATCATCCATCTATCAATCTATTGGGACCTATCAATCTATAGGCCTCTCTTAGATCTATTCGTCTATCTATCTATCGATCTATCTATTATATCATTTCTTGATTCTATCTATTGAGAACTGAAAGTAGGCCTCTCTTAGATCTATTCTATCATCTATCCTATCCATCCATCTAATGGGACCTGGAGGTAGGCCTTAGATCTATTCGTCTATCTATCTATCTATCTATCTATCTATCTATCTATTATATCATTTCTTGATTCTATCTATCTATTGAGAACTGAAAGTAGGCCTCTCTTAGATCCATTCTATCATCTATAATCTATCCTATCCATCCATCTATTGGAACCTGGAGGTAGGCCTCTCTTAGATCTATTCGTCTATCTATCTATCTATCTATCTATCTATCTATCTATTCTATCATCCATCTATTATTCTGTCTATCCTATTATCTATCTATCCTATTATCTATCTATCCTATCATCCATCTATCAATCTATTGGAACCTGAAAGTTATAAATTATAAATGTAATGTTCGTTTGTGGGATTACCAGAACTCAGAAACCACTGGATGAATTGACATCAAATTAGAACAGAAGACAACAATTAAAGTAATCCATGTCCTTCACTCAAAAAAAACAAAAAAATTAACCGGAAAGAATTTAACCCCCCCCCCCCAGTCTAAATGAATATACAGAGCAAGCGTTAAAAGAACACCATCCCCTCCTACACGAGGGGGGAAAAAACAACAGCTGGGAGAGAGAACCGCTTGAGAGAGGGAGGGAAAAGTGGCCGGTATATCCCTCTCGCTACCCCCTGCCTCTCTCTTCCCAAAGGATTGAGAGAGAGAGAGAGAGAGAAGGAGAGAGAGAGAAGGAGAGAGAGAGAGAGAGAGAGGACACCCTCCTCCAGATCCATCCCTCCCTTTCCTTTTCCCCCCTTTCTCTCTTGGGTCTTGGCTGTCAGCAGCATGGAGGTACCTCCGCTGCTGGGAACTCACACGGGAGGGGTTCTGTGTGTGTGTGTGTGTATCCCAAGAAAGCTAATCCATATTGAGTTATGGGAAGGAATTCTGGGAAATGAAGTCCAGTATTCAAAAAAAGGACAAAAATGCACGCTCTGTGAGTTAGCAAAGGCTGTCCGGGAAGGCACAACCAAAATACTCCCAAAAGATGGCCATCCATTTTTACTTTTTTACCAACCCTGGGCTAAAATATATCTACAATAATATCTATAGAGCTATCGTAATAACATCTATAAGTCTAAAATATATATATGTGTGTGTGTGTGTGTCTATATCTATATGTCTATAACAATAATTTTCGCCTCGTGGTCAGCCTGTGAATCACACATTTGGTATATTCCTGCGCTCGCGCAGACAGCAACAGACACTCACGAGCTCACTTTAACTGACCGTTAGAGTAGCCCCGCCCCTTTATCCCCACTCATATAAATAGCCCTGCCATGGGGCTACCGGCCAGTTCTTCCGCCGCAAAAGCATTCAGAAGTCCTGGGGCATGACCATACAAAGTGGGGAGGATGGGCGGGGATGTGTGAATTCACAGACGACCACTCAGGAAAATATGTTTACAGGTAAGCAACCTATATATCTACATGTCTATAATAATATCCATATCCATATGTCTATAATTATATCTGTCTGTGGACACAATACACCTCTCAGGTCAACGAGTGACCATCACTCATAAAAACACCGAAGAACACAGCGGAAGAGACTTAAAAAACCATAAAATAAAAAAAACATTACAATGCATGTGCATAACCACATAAATATGCGTATTCCTCCCTTTTCCTCCATGTCTTTCTCTTCTTCCTCAGGATTCGTAAGTTTCGACAATCCTGCCAGCGCGCAAGCGGCCATCCAGGCCATGAACGGCTTCCAGATCGGGATGAAGCGGCTCAAAGTGCAGCTCAAGCGGCCCAAAGACGCCAACCGGCCGTACTGAACTGCCGCTCCGCCAGGTGGGTGACCCCCAATCTCATCGACAAGGGGAAAAAAACACGGAGCATTTCCATGCATAAGTTTTTCAGGTCTACTTTTCATACTGAATCTGCATCCTTGGGTAAAATGGCCATGGAAATCCTCCTTGGCCTTGGCAAATAGCCTCCCAGGCCCCATCATCCCCTTCCTCCCCGTGGTAGCTCCTACCTCTCTAAATTCCAGGCACAAAGGACCAGAAAGTCTGGGGAAAATAATCGCATTTCAATCTCTCTGTTGCTGGAAGACTTTGCTGTGGGTTGGGGGAAAATATCATAGTAGTGCCTGCGAACTCCCAGAGAAGGGTTAGAGAGTGAACTATTCGTCCGCTTATCCTTAATATTCTCTAGTTCCATTACTCCAAGTTGAGACATCATAACAGAGTGAAATAAGGAGATAGGCAGCAGTAAATTCGAGATATACAACTGTTTAGAAGCCGTAGCACACCAATTCCTCAATGGGGACACTTTACGGCCAGGTGGAGAAAAGGGTGGGACGGAGAAGGATCCAGACCTGTCCGTCTGTCCCGTGCCTCCTTTGTTCTGAATTAACTGTCTCGTTCTCTTGTGTCTGTGTTCCCCACCTCTATTCGGACGCCAGATTTCTCTTGCCATGACTTCTGTTTTATGATATGTCTTATTCTTTCGTGTTTTGTTGTTCTCATCCCCCGTGATGGTATTTTGAAGAACGCTGGGTGACTTCCTCCCGTTTCTCATGTCTCAAGAAGATACAGTTTTGCTCACTTTCTTAGAAAAAATGAACTAGGAGAGGTATTGGGTGAAGGCAGATTTTAAGGAGATTCTGAGAGATCGTAGCTTCCTTTTGGATGTACAGTAGAGTCTCGTTTATCTGACATAAACAGGCTGGCAGAACATCGGATACACAAAAATGTTGAATAATACGGAGTCTTCTACCATTACCCATCCGACGCGGTGTTAGACACTTAGAATACAAACAACAGGGACTCAAAGAGTTAAGGCAAGGCAACGCCTCAGGGCTAGATGGGCCCAGCAGGAAGTGCCAGGATGTGGAAGGGGAGCGTGGAAATCACAGAGGGAAGGAGGGAAGACGCTTTCGCTTCTGGTCCTGCCTCTTTTCCCCCTTTCCTTCCTCCTCCTCCTCCTCTTGTCCTTTTAACTTCTTGGGAACGGAGAGTTGGGGAGCGCTTCTTCAAAACGGGAACCCAAAGAGTTAAGGCAAGGCAACGCCCCAGGGCTAGAGGGGCCCAGCAGGAAGTGCCCGGATGCGGAAGAGAAGTGTGGAAATCCCAGAGGGAAGGAGGGAGGACACTTCCGGTCCCGGAAAGAGAGTTGGGGAATGCTGCTTTATTATTTATTAAATTTATTTATTTACTGTATTTATATTCCGCCCTTCTCACCCCGCAGGGGACTCAGGGCAGATTACACTGTACATATACATGGCAAAAATTCAGTGCCATAGACACACAACATATATAGACACTCAGAGACTTTTAAACATTTCATGAGGGTATTCTGGCCACCAGAGGAACTGTCGCTTCACCGTCCATTTGTGACACTGCTGAAGTACTTCCTCATTCTTTGCATGCTTGCTGGAGATTTTTATGGCCTCGTAAATTAGTTAAATTAGCCTCCCCACATAAGCGGTACCTAAATTTCCTACTTGACAGATGCAACTGTCTTTCGGGCTGCAAAAGTCGCCAGCAAGCTACACAAATTGGTCGGAAGCTCACTCCGACCTGGGCTGGCTTCGAACTCATGACCTTTAGGTCAGTAGTGATCTTAATGTAGCTGATTCCCAGCCACCTGCGCCACAGTCCCGGTGCCCTTTTCACTTCTTGGGAATGGAGAGAGAATTAGGGAGCGCTACTTAAAAACAAGGACTGTTAAGGCAAGGCAACGCCCCAGGGCTAGAGGGGCCCAGCAGGAAGTGCCTGAATGGGGAAAAGGAGTGTGGAAATTACGGAGGGAAGGAGGGAAGATGCTACCTCTTCCAGTCCTGCTTCTTTTTGCTCCTTTTCTTCCTCTTCCTCCTCGTCTTGCTCTTTCCAGGGAGGAAAAGGGATAATATAAGACAAAATGTCAGATAAGCAAAGGTCGGATAAGCGAGACTGTATGTAATTGATGTTTTCTAAACTGTACCCAGATTAAATTGAGTAAAGAAAGAGTGCATTTTCCACATGTTTCAGTTCATACCTTGGCGTTCTGGGGATTCTCGTCCCTCTCCAGAACAGCAGCAACAGAGAACTACTCACAATCTCATCAAACTAAAAATCCCAATGTTCCATAAGAAAGAGCTGTGACCGTTAAATTGGGATCGAATCATGAAAATACAAAGTAGTAGAGCTGGAAAAGTATTTACAAAATCGTAAAATAAAATGTTTTCCGATTGTCGAGAAACTTTTACTGAGAAGAATCCAGACTCTTCATCGTTTCAGATTTATTTTGCACAAAATATACACATTTTCTGTACAGAAAACATTTCTGTGCAGAAAACATTTCCGTAGAGAAAATGACATATTCATCGTTTCGGACTTATTTTGCAGAAAACACACAATTTTCTGTACAGAAAACATTTCCGTACAGAAAATGACATATTCTGCACAATCCCCCCTCAAAAAAATTCTATGCCAATAGCTTGTGCCAAATGTGCTGAGTGGGAGTTTAGAAGATCACATACAACCCGCCTGTCTTGGTCTCTTGTTATGCGTAATTTATGCATATTGTGTTTTGTATTAAAATACATGTCCTTCGTTTCTAACCCTTGTCTAATGGAAGCTCTAGAATGAAAAGGGGAAGGGGGAAAAAGTTGCGTTTTAAGCATTTTTTTTAAAAGAAAAGAGTACGCACCCGTGTTAAAAAAGAAACCGAAACCGAAACCAAACTCCCGTTTTCTTTCTTTGCCGCTCGAAACCACGCCCACCTCCCCGCCTCCCTCGGCAGGGGTCCAATCATATCTTGAGACGACTCTGCCGCTAAGGCCCCCTTCGCTGTCGCGGGAGACGTAGCTCCGCCCCCCTTGTAAGTTGCATCCGATGGAATGAACAAAACCAGTGGTTGTATTCCTTTCTTCTTCTTCATTATTATTTGGAAAAACAAAAACAAAGGAACGTCATGTGATCCGAGTTTTGCACTCTTTTTGCATGACGTCTGCGTGAACTTATTATTAGCATTTGAACTGGATGTGCCGTGAGTTTCTTGGAACGTAGTTTTCGTTTGGTGAAGTTCAACCGCCTTCCCTCGTTTCCTCTCCTCCCTCCTTTCCGCCCCACAGACTCACACGCACACAACAGACTCACACTCGCACTCGTGCCCAACCCCAACGCAACTCAATGCACCTCTGGACTGGGACTCCCTCAGTGTCCGTTTCTTGTGCCCCGTCCGACACACCGCTCTTTCTCCCCTCCACGTCAAACACCTGTATCTCTTCAGTTACCTTTAATCCACTGTGGTTGCCGTATTGCTGTGGGCTGTTGTTCTCTTTCTATGTATCTATATGATTTCCTTGCCTGTGCTGTGTTTTGCTTGTCTGTATGGTTTTCTTTTCCTCTTGACGCATTGGCTGGCGGTGCTGTGTTGTTGTGGGTTTGTGCTGTTCATCCTGTGGGCAAATGTTTGTTTATTATTGTTTTGAAGAAAATCAACACTTCCGTGCTTCGACATTCCTTCTTGGCTGCCTCCTCCCTCCCTTTGGGGTGCTCCCGTTGGATCTTCCAAAACTAGGGTGAATTTGGACCCAGTCTCGTTCATTCTCCAGACAAAAATATAATGTATTCTCATTACAAAAGGCCTCAAACATGACTATACTGTTGGGCGAGCGGGCTTAATAACAAAAGACCCTCCTCCTCATAAATGCACAGCAGAGTGACTTATTAGCAGCAGAGTGGCCCAGTACCAGTAGCCAAAAGGGATCACCTTCTCTCACCGAAGCTTCTCACACCAGACCTCCACACACTGAGGCCTTCTCATACTGAGGCAAACTAACACTGGAGCCTTCTCATACTGAAGAGACTTATTAGCAGCAGCATGACCCAGTACCTGTAGCCGAAAGTGATGGCCTTCAACCTGGAGCTTCCCTCACGGAAGCTTCTCACACAAGCCTCCACACATTGCGGCCTACAAACACAGAGGCCTTCTCATACTGAGGCAAACTAGCACTGGAACTTTCTCATACTGAGGCCTTCTCACACCGAGGCATCTCTGATACTGAGGCAAACTAACACTGGAGCCTTCTCCTATTGAGACCGTTTCATACCGAGGCAAACTAACACTGAGACCTTCTCATACCGAGGCAAACGAACACTGGAGCCTTCTCATACTGAGGCCTTCTCATACCAAGACATCTCTGATACTGAGGCAAACTAACACTGGAGCCTTCTCATACTGAGGCCTTCTCATACCAAGGCTTCTCCATACCGAGGCGAACACAGGAGCCCTCTCATACTGAGGCTTTCTCATACCAAGGCATCTTTCATACTGAAGCAAACTAACACTGGAGCCTTCTTATACTGAAGCCTTCTCATACCGAGTCATCTCTCATATGAGGCAAACTAACACTGGAGCCTTCTCATACTGAGGCAAACTAACATTGGAGCCTTCTCATACTGAGGCCTTCTCATACCGAAACATCTCTCATGCTGAGGCAAACTAACACTGGAGCCTTCTCATACCAAGGCTTCTCCATACCTAGGCAAACTAACACTGGAGCCCTCATACTGAGGCCTTCTCATATAGAGGCATCTTTCATACTGAGGCAAACTAACACTGGAGCCTTCTCATACTGAGGCCTTCTCATACCGAGGCTTCCCTCATACTGAGGGCAACTAACACTGAGGCATTCTAAGCTACAGGTACACCTACTTATATTGAACTGCAGCATTTACTGAGTCATTGCATCCATTTAACCTTTTCCGTGCTTGACTCACATTTTTGTAATTAAAAATATTTAGTTAATTTTTTATATTTCTGACATATATTCCCTTTTCTCAGATGTTTCACACGCAGTAAGTTTGTACACGAAATATTCTGCGAGAAATATTTTGCATACAGAATGACTACCAAACATCTCTCTAGTTAACAAGTGGGACCTGGAGAAGGACTACTGGACTATGGTGGGTGGACAATTGGGACAATTGTGGGACTTGGGACCAAAGTAGTCCCCCAGGAGACTCCGGAGGGCTACGGTCTCATGGCAGCTCTCCCACAAAAAAGCCATATTTTGGTTCCCCAATCACCCCTATCTGAGGGTCATTCTTCAGCTCCCGCTGGGTCATTTTAGGCTCAGAAGAGGCCTTTTCTGACAAGAGAAAGTGGGGAGAGCTGTGCTCACAGATCCAACAGCCTTCTTCCCACTCTCCTCCCATCTCCCTGCCATTTCCACCTGGACTGCATGCCTGCCTGTCCGTCCCACCGACTCACTTTTCTGTGGTCCCAATCTTTCCTTCCTACCCGACCCCCACAATGTGTGCATGGGACACCCATTGCTTTGGGTTCTCCCCATCCTCGCTATGTGCCATTCATATCCAATGGGTTGCTCCATCCACGGCGACTGGCCTTTTCCCTTGCCGACATGTTGCCTGGCCAAGCGAGCTCGTCTCTCAGCGAGAATTTGAAAGCTTCCAAAGGCTTTGTCCACTTTCTCTCTCCTTTTTTTTCTTTTTGTCGTCGTCATTCTTGTCATCGTGGGTTTCTCCTGTGTTTTTGCTTTCTTTCTGTCGTCGTCGGTGGCGTGTGCGTGTCTGTATTTCTAGTCGCTGAACAGCATCGTGGGGAGCGGGGGGCCCGTGGCCGGAGCCACATGGAGACCCGAACCCCTCAGCTGTGGGCTCCATGGGAAGGGGGGGTCATCATCATTAGCACCACAGTATTAAAATAGGAGCCCTAATAAAATAGGTCATTTCCTGCGTCCACATTCCGCTCCCAATCTTTGCAATTTTTAGTGATTTTATTTTACATCTAACGGATTATTTTAGCAGAACCCTGAGTTAAAAGGGTTGGAGAGGGAAGGGAGCTGATTAAAGACTGATATTGGGAAGAGAGGTAGGAACCATCTTTGACTAATCGAGAGGAAGCCGTTACCAATTCGATGCACCTTCCCTCTGCTTTGTCTACCTTAACCTAATTTCATAGGGCCCCACATCAGCCCGAAAGGAGATACATTGAAGTAGACGAAGCCAAGGGCAAGTTTGCACTCCTTTTTCCTTGACGTCAACTGAGATTTCAATATATGTATTGCATCAAGTCCCCGGATAAGGCCTTGGGTCCCTCCGCTGCCATCTTGGCTGCCCTCGGGGAGATGACAGAATGGCAGAAGGAGAGCTTTGAATGGTTTTTTTGGTGGATGCCTTGCTCTTGGGAGGCTTGGCTGCTGGAATCCCGGGGTGTCAAAGCCCATTCACTTCCCAAAAAAAGGGGGGTCATCGAGAAATTTGGGGGTGATCAATTTGTCTGGCTCTCTATAAATCCCACCACGTTGCCTGGCAGACATGGCTCCATTCCAACAGCCCAAACGTCTCCTTGAACCCAGGATTCCAGTCTAACCATCCTCCTCTCTCTGCATGCCCTAGGCTGACAGGCACTTCTCCCTCTGTTGTCCACTGTGGGAAGGAAAATATTTAATACAACCAATTTCTGTGTTCTCCTCTTCCTCTCTCTCTCTCGTCCTTCCCTTTTTCTCTCTCCGTAGGTCTGGAGCTCAATGGAGGAGCAATGTTCCCCCGCCCCTTTGATTCTCTTCCCTTTCCCGCTCCCCGTTTCCCCCTCTCCCTGCTTTCTTCTTCCTTCCATAGGAAAGTGACTCACCCCCCGGAGCCAAGGGAGCTCGCCGCTTTCCTCACGGGCTCAGAGGTTTCTTGCCGCAATGGTCTTCTTTGTGAGAGTCGGGATTCAGAGTCGGATGGGCTTCACCATAACCTGCCACCGCCTCCCGTTGGATCCCGGCACTTTCCAAAACAACCGAGGTGCACTACATTGGGGCAACGAAGGAGCAACCTTTATCAATGAAAGCTCCAATTGAGATGCAAAGATCCTGTTTGGCACCACCTCACTTCCTTTCTCAGCAGAAGACCTTGGAAGGATGGGCCAATCCGAAGAGAACCCCAGTTACCATTGGGGTCCTCACTCTCAACTTCATTGTTTCTTTGCACTACATAACACGAACCGGGGATGCGGGGTTGCAACAACACTACCAGTATGACTCTGGGTACAAGCCGCTCTCGGGGTTTTGTGGCAAGTAATTTCCCCTCAGCCGTCCTAATCTCAAGGGGGGAATTGTTATCGACCAAGTTGTATCCGCTGTTGTAGGGAAGGGAGTATTTCAAAGAGAAAGAATCACAACTGAGATTGGAAAATGGAAGCAAGTGTCAACATATTTTTTGCCATTTCTCATCTGCAGCATCTACAGAAGGGTGACTGAATAATGCTGCTCCACAATCTTGTTTTGCTGACGTTCCTCCTCTTCTCCCAGATCTTTCAAATGGTCCTTTCCCAAACGTTCTCTCAGATCATTAAAATGATTCTTTCCCAAACTTCACTTCTTCAATCATAATAATAATAAACTTTATTTATACCCTGCCACCATCTCCCCAAAGGGGACTTGGGAGAGGCTTACATGAGGCCAACCCTTGTACCCAGAAAGCTACCTTTAGCTGAGTTGTCCCATAAGTCCACCCACATCCTCAGGACTTCGGGTTGTGAGTCTCTCCCAGCTTCACCTCAAAACATCTAGGATGAAACCTGGGTACAGGACACAGGATAAATCCCACCTGTAACAAAACCCAATCATATTTCTCTGAGCCCACCCTCAATCCCGTAAAACCCTAGGATAGGGTGCCATAAGTCAGAAATGACTTGAAGGCCCACAACAAGACATGTCCCACCAACCCCAAAAGGACAACCTCCCAGTGAGCTTTTCTTTGCCCTCTTCTTTGGTGGGCAAAGAACCACCTTAGGGCAGAAAGTAGATTTCTCATATCAAATATGGATATATGAAGTCTCCTGTTCAAGATTGAGGTGTTCGCTTCTTGTGGACATAGGAAGACCTCAAAAGACTGTCAGGTAGACCTTCTCAAACATTCCCTTGGCCCAGTTTGGGACTATAGCTAGGGCTATAAAGTAACAGAGACAGTGTTTCCTTTCCATCCATCATAGCAATTCCTTTGAGGAGTAGCCCACAATAATTCAGTCTACCCATCCCAAGATGGAGAGAAGATCAGACAAGGCGGCCATCTCAGGATCTTGATGTTAAGCTGCGATAAAACCTGGGATTTGCTCTTTTTCTGGTTTAGCCAACCTTCCAATATTCACAAACTCATCTGATGGCCAACATAAAGTCCTCTGTGGCCAAGAGAACTGCAGAGCTCTCCTCTTGAACCTCCTCCTCACCGCTATGCCATTCCAAGGGGTCTACAGATGGCACCCCGTCTTGGATGTACGCAATCCGAAGATGACCGAAACACAACGATTCCAACCCGTTCTGCTGTGGCTTGTGTTTCGGTTCGGATCCTCGTCCATTTTCTTCTCCCGTTGGGTGAGGAGGAATGGTCACCTGAGAAGATGTATCTCCACCAACTGTCATGCAATGCTTCCGTTCTGACTTTCGTGTGCTTAAATGGAGCTTAAAGGAAGTAAAAACCCATCCGAAGGGAGCGACGCAAGGCTACTCACCAAAACAACCAGACATTCGAATACAGGGTGTCCTGCCTGAAAACCTTAAAGAGTCGGAAGGCGGTATCGTTGATCAACCAAATACATCCTTTCTAGGCATTTTCTAGGTCCTCCGGCGCAACTCGGCTAAGAATCTTTCCTTTTAATAGGATTTGCTTATTCTCCACGATTTTGTGTCTCCACATCACGTCGGAGAACATAACGGGGGCCGCATTGTAATTCCTGGGACACGCTCAGAACTTAGCGGAAGTCCTTGAAAATCACTCTGAAACAGAGCGAATTGTCCACTTCCTGTCTCTGATTCCCATACTTTGCTCCACATATACGGGCCTTTCCTTGCCTATCCTTTCCTTTCCACACCTGCAAACAAACCCTCTTCAGGAACATCTTGGTGTGTGTTAAGATAATCCTCCAAACTCTGACCAATTGGCGGAGTCTAAGAAGCATGGAGAACCCTATGGTAGACCCTATGGAGACTTCTCCCCTTACAGTCCCCCGGATCCTTCCGGAAGACCCTTAAAATAAGCCCATTCCCATGGAGAACCCTATGGAGCCTTCTCCCCTTGCAGTCCCTCAGATCCTTCTAGAAGACCCTTAAAATAAGCCCATTCCTATGGAGAACCCCATAGAGCCTTCTCCTCTTGCAGTCCCTCAGATCCTTCCACAAGACCCATAAAGAAAGCCCATTCCTATGGAGAACTCCATGGAGAACCCTATGGAGTCTTCTCCTCTTGCAGTCCCTCAGATCCTTCCAGAAGGCCCTTAAAGAAAGCCCATTCCTATGGAGAACCCCATGGAGAACCCTATGGAGCCTTCTCCTCTTGCAGTCCCTCAGACCCTTAAAATAAGCCCTTTCCTAGAAGAACCCTATGAAGAACTCCATGGAGGCTTCTCCTCTTAAAGTCCCTCAAATCCTTCGGAAGACCCTTGAAATAAGCCCATTCCTATGGAGAACCCTGTGGTAGACCCTATGGAGCCTTCTCCTCTTAAAGTCCCTCAGATTCTTCCAGAAGACCCTTAAAATAAGCCCAATCCTAGGAGAACCATATGGAGAACCCTATGGAGCCTTCTCCTCATGCAGTCCCTCAGATCCTTCCAGAAGACCCTTAAAATAAGCCCATTCCTAGGAGAACCATATGGAGAACCCTATGGAGCCTTCTCCCCTTGCAGTCCCTCAGATCCTTCTAGAAGACCCTTAAATAATCCCATTCCTATGGAGAACCCCATAGAGCCTTCTCCTCTTGCAGCCCCTCAGATCCTTCCACAAGACCCTTAAAATAAGCCCATTCCTATGGAGAACCCCATGGAGAACCCTGTGGAGCCTTCTCCTCTTGCAGTCCCTCAGATCCTTTGGAAGACCCTTAAAATAAGCCCATTCCTAGGAGAACCCTATGGAGAACCCTATGGAGACTTCTCCTCTTGCAGTCCCCCAAACCCTTCCAGAAGACGTTTAAGCCCATTCCTATGGAGAACCTTATGGAGCCTTCTCCTCTTGAAGTCCCCCAGATCCTCCTGCAAGACCCTTAAAGTAAGCCCATTCCTATGGAGAACTCTATGGAGAACCCTATGGAGACTTCTCCTCTTGCAATCCCCCGGATCCTTCTGCAAGACCCTTAAAACCGGATCCGTTCCTTCATTTACCTCGGTCCCCATAAGGCAACATCTCCCAACTTCCCGCCTCCGTCCCGTGAACTCCAAACCCGCAAAAAGCGCTCGGAAATCAAGGGTTCTATAACCGTAAAGAAAGAAAGACGGAAAGAAATATGTTTACAGTCTCTTTTGCTGATTCAGTACTTGTAAATAATTCCATTGCGATTAGCTGCAATTAAATTTTAAACAGGGGGGGAAACGGGGTTGAATCCATTGCTGTTTTCTGATTTTAGGGGGTTTTTACAAACTGTCTCTCTCTTTCTTTCATCCTCTATCCCTTCCTTCGACTCTCTCTCTTTTTTTAATTTTCCCTTCTTAGGGTGGGAGGGGGGTTTACTACGCGGTCGATTAATTTAGAAGGACAAAAGAAAAAGGCAAAAAAAAAAGAGGAGGAGAAAAGAGATGAACTTTTAGTGCTGGGGATTTTAAAACAAATGAAGAGTTGCATTCTATGTTTCAGACGATATCAATGCTTAAGTTATTGATTATTTATTGCTGTTTACTTTTAATAATTTAATTTTTTTTCTGTCTAAATAAAAGAATTGAAAAGCCATGATTTGTCGATGTCGACTTTGGGAAGACCAGGTTTCGTAAGAAATGGGAACTTTTGGTTTCGGCTCCTTAATACAGTTTATCTACCTATGTATCTATCTGTTTTTGTGCGTTGACATATCTTTGTCCCTGACAGTTCAAAGAGATATCTAGGTATATCAGTCTAACACAGTGTTTCTCAACCTTCCAAATGCAGCAACCCCTTAATGCAGTTTATCTACCTATTTATCTATTTGTTTTTGTGCATTGGCATATCTTTGTCCCTGATAGTTCAAAGAGGTATCTAGGTATATCAGTCTAACACAGTGTTTCTCAACCTCCCGAATGCCAAAACCCCTTCATACAGCTTATCTATCTATCTGTCTGTCTGTCTGTCTGTCTATCTGTCTGTCTGTCTATCTATCTATCTATCTACCTATTTATCTATCTGTTTTTGTACATCAGCATATCTTTGTCCCTGACAGTTCAAAGAGATATCTAGGTATACCAGTCTAACACAGTGTTTCTCAACCTCCCAAATGCAGCAACCCCTTCATACAGATTATCTACCTATTTATCTATTTGTTTTTGTGCATTGGCTTATTTTTGTCCCTGACAGTCCAAAGAGGTATCTAGGTATATCAGTCTAACACAGTGTTTCTCAACCTCCCGAATGCCAAAACCCCTTCATACAGCTTATCTATCTATCTGTCTGTCTGTTTTTGTGCATTGGCATATCTTTGTCCCTGACAGTTCGAAGAGATATATCAGTCTAACAAAGTGCTTCTCAACCTCCTGAATGCCGCGACCCCTTCATGCAGTCTATCTATCTATCTATCTATCTATCTATCTATCTATCTATCTACCTACCTACCTACCTACCTACCTACCTATTTATCTATATGTTTTTGTGCATTGGCATATTTCTGTCCCTGACAGTTCAAAGAGATATCTAGGTATATCAGTCAAACACAGTGTTTCTCAACCTTCCGAATGCCGCAACCCCTTCATGCAGTCTATCTATCTATCTATCTATCTATCTATCTATCTATCTACCTACCTATTTAGCTATCTCTTTTTCTGCATTGGCATATCTTTGTCCCTGATAGTTCAAAGAAATATGTGGGTATACCAGTCTAACACAGTGTTTCTCAACCTCCCGAATGCCATGACCCCTTAATACAATTTATCTACCTATTTATCTATTTGTTTTGTGCATTGGCATATCTTTGTCCCTGACAGTTCAAAGAGATATCTACTTATACCAGCCTAACACAGCGTTTCTCAACCTCCCAAATGCCACAACCCCTTCATACAGCTTATCTATCTATCTTTCTACCTATCTACCTATTTATCTATTTGTTTTCGTGCATTGGCATATCTTTGTCCCTGACAGTTCAAAGAGATATCTAGGTATACCAGTCTAACACAGTGTTTCTCAACCTTCAGAATGCAGCGACCCCTTAATACAGTTTATCTGTCTGTCTGTCTGTTTTTGTGCACTGGCATATCTTTGTCCCTGACAGTTCAAAGAGATATCTAGGTATACCAGTCTAACACAGTGTTTCTCAACCTTCAGAATGATGCAAACCCTTCATATAGTTTATCTACCTATTTATCTATTTGTTTTTGTGCATTGGCATATCTTTGTCCCTGACAATTCAAAGAGATATCTAGGTATACCTGTCTAACACAGTGTTTCTCAACCTTCCGAATGCAGCGACCCCTTCATACAGCCTATCTGTCTGTCTGTCTATCTATCTATCTATCTATCTGTCTGTTTTTACGCATTGGCATATCTTTGTCCCTGACAGTTCGAAGAGATATCTAGGTATACTAGTCTAACACAGTGTTTCTCAACCTTCCGAATGCAGAGACCCCTTAATACAGTTCCTCATGTGGTGACTCCCAACCATAACATTATTTTAATTGCTACTACATAACTATAATTTTGTGACTGTTATGATTGGACATATCTAGAGGCATTCAAAATCCTTCTCCTTTGCAAAACCAAACCATTCCTTTATCTCAGTGGTTCCCAACATGTGGTCCGCAAGAACGAAAATATGGTCCGTAGCCTCACCGTTATTACACTGTTGCCTCAAAACCAAGCAGCAATGAGATTGACTGGTTTTGAGAAACTCTGTTATAGAGCTGAGGCAATGGGGATATCGGGAGGGGAGAGGCTGACGACCAACAAAAGATTACGACTACCACATCGACTCTAGATTATTAAATATGGTTTTCTGTGGGCGATGTGATGGTGACCCCTGGATGGCATATGTTCTGTATCAGGAACTAGACCTGATGTGGTCTATCCAGTGAAGTTTTCTGGTTGAAAAGCTTCTCTCACCGAAGCTTTTCACACCAGGCCTCCACACACTGAGGCCTACAAACACTGAGGCCTTCTTATACTAAGGCAAATTAACACTGGAGCCTTCTCATACTGAGGCCTTCTCACACCGAGACATCTCTCATTCTGAGGTAAGGCAAACTAACACTGGAGCCGTCTCATACTGAGGCCTTCTCACACAGAGACATCTCTCATACTTAGGAGTGGCAAACTAACACTGGAGCCTTCTCGTACTAAGGCCTTCTCATTCTGAGGCTTCTCTCATACTGAGGAGAGACAAACTAACACTGAAGCTGTCTCGTACTGAGGCCTTCTCATTCTGAGGTTTCTCTCATACTGAGGTGAGGTAAACTACCACTGGAGCCTTATCATACTGAGGCCTTCTCATTCTGAGGCTTCTCTCATACCGAGGAGAGGCAAACTAACACTGGAGCCGTCTCGTACTGAGGCCTTTTCACACAGAGACATCTCTCATACTGAGGAGTGGCAAACTAACACTGGAGCCTTCTCGTACTGAGGCCTTCTCATTCTGAGGCTTCTCTCATACTGAGGTGAGGTAAACTGCCACTGGAGCCTTATCATACTGAGGCCTTCTCATTCTGAGGCTTCTCTCATACTGAGGTGAGGTAAACTGCCACTGGAGCCGTCTCATACTGAGGCCTTCTCACACAGAGACATCTCTCATACTGAGGTGAGGCAAACTAACACTGGAGCCTTCTCATTCTGAGGCTTCTCTCATACTGAGGTGAGGCAAACTAATACTGGAGCCTTCTCATACTGAGGCCTTCTCATTCTGAGGCTTCTCTCATACTAAGGTGAGGCAAACTACCACTGGAGTCTTCTCATATTGAGTTCTTCTCATACCAAGCACCCCAAATAAACCAAATCTAAAGTTGACCAAAAACTGATTCATGACCCTTTTGGTACCAATGCTGGGGAGTGGTCCCTGGTCAAAAAAAGGTTGGGAACCATTCCTTTATCTCAAAGTGCTTCAGATATTTTATTGCGTCTTGCCCTGACCATGATACGATGAGAGACAGCCCAAGGATGTTCCCCATTGTAAAACCCCCTTCCCCATGGGAACTGCTCATGGCCTGAGTTTGCCTTTGCCACAACATCAAATCTCCCAAATTGTTCTCCAAGTTTCAAGATTCGGTATTGTCAAACTGGCTTCGGAAATCACAGGAAGTGGGTTTGCTTCCACGAGTTGAGGCAGGCGCCCAAGAGAGCCAAGGCGATGAATTCTGGGGAAAGTCTTGAGACTGAAGGCCATGATAGAAGGAAAAACTAAGCTTCCGGTTCTGGAATGGGAATGAAAAGTAGGTATCGCTTCAGACTCTTTGCCGATCAGAGTCCGGAAAAGTTACTGACCATGCTGGCTGGGGGATCCTGGGTCCCAAGAAATAACTTTTCCAAACACAGCTGGGTAATATTGGTGGATAAGGTAAACTCCGGAAAAGTTACTAACAATGGGGGATCTTGGATACCAAAAAGTAACTTTTCCAAACTCAGCTGGGTAATACTGATGGATAAGAAAAAGTCCAGAAAAGTTACTGACCATGCTGGCTGGGGGATCCCAAAAAGTAACTTTTCCAAACTCAGCTGGGTAATACTGGTGGATAAGGAAAAGTAGGTATCACTTCTCTCAATCCGAGTTCAGACTCTTGTTGATCGGAGTCCGGAAAAGTTACTGATAATCCTAGCTGGAGGATCCTGGGTCCCAAAAAGTAACTTTTCCAAACTCAGCTGGGTAATACTGGTGGATAAGGAAAAGTCCGAAAAGGTTACTAACCATGGTGGCTGGGGAATCCTGGGTCACAAAAAGTAACTTTTCCGAACTCAACTGAGTTATACTGGTGGATAAGGAAAAGTAGATATCACTTCTCTCGATCTGAGTTCAGACTCTTGTTGATCGGAGTCCGGAAAAGTCTGGATAAGGAAAAGTCTGGAAAAGTTACTAACCATGCTGGCTGGGGGATCCTGGGTCACAAAAAGGATCCAAACTCAGTTCCAAACTCAACTGAGTAATACTGATGGATAAGGGAAAGTAGGTATCACTTATCTCGATCCGAGTTCAGACTCTTGTCAATCGGTGTCCAGAAAAGTTACTGATAATCCTAGCTGGGGGATCCTGGGTCCGAAAAAGTAACTTTTCCAAACTCAGCTGGGTAATATTGGTGGATAAGGAAAAGTCCAGAAAAGTTACTGACCATGCTGGCTGTGGGATCCTGGATTCCTAAAAGTAACTTTTCCAAACTCAGTGGGGTAATATTGGTGGATAAGGAAAAGTAGGTATCACTTCTCTCGATCCGAATTCAGACTCTTTTCAATTGGAGTCCGGAAAAGTTACTGATAATCCTAGCTGGAGGATCCTGGGTCCCAAAAAGTAACTTTTTCAAACTCAGCTGGGTAATACTGGTGGATAAGGAAAATTCCAGAAAAGTTGGAGGAACCTGGGTCGCAAAAAGTAACTTTTCCAAACTCAGCTGCGTAATACTGGTGGATAAGGAAAAGTAGGTATCACTTCTCTCGATCCAAGTTCAGACTCTTGTCAATCGGAGTCCGGAAAAGTTACTGATAATCCAGGCTGGGGGATTCTGGGTACCCAAAAGTAACTTTTCCAAACTCAGCTGGGTAATATTAGTGGATAAGGAGAAGTCCGGAAAAGTTACTGACCATGCTGGCTGGGGGATCCTGGGTCCCAAAAAGTAACTTTTCTAAACTCAGCTGGGTAATACTGGTAGATACGGAAAAGTAGGTATCCTCTCGATCTGAGTTCAGACTCTTGTCGATCGGAGTCCGGAAAAGTTACTGATAATCCTGGCTGGGGGATTCTGGGTCCCAAAAAGTAACTTTTCCAAATTCAAGTGGGTCATACTGGTGGATACAGAAAAGTAGGTGCCACTTTTCTTGAACAGAGTTCAGATTCTTGTCAATCGGAGTCCGGAAAAGTTAGACCATGTTGGCTGGGTGATCCTGGGTCCCAAAAAAGTAACTTTTCCAAACTCAGCTGGGTAGTACAGGGGGATACGGAAAAGTAGGGGCGCTCACAGGAAGTCCTTAGTAATGGCCTCCGCGAAGTTGGGGGCGGCCATGAGGATGCCGATGGAGCAGACGATGTGGACGAGGACGAAGGTGACCAGGCAGAGCCGGTCCACGACGGCCGCCGCGAACTTCCACTGGCTGCAGGCGGCCTGCGCGGCGTCCCGGCCCCGGAAACACCGGGCAACGTAGCGCAGCTCCTCCAGGATGCGGCCCAGTTCGGGGCTGGAGAGCAGCTCCTCCGGGGTGGAGGCCTGGAGCTCCGGGGAGGGCAGGAAGGGCCGGGGGACCTCGGGGGGCTTGGCGGGGAAGGGACCCCCGTAGGCCAGGCCCCCGTTGGCCACGGGGAGCGCCGGGGCGGGCTGCGGGATCGGCGTGCCTCCGCCGTCGCTGCTCTCCGAACTGCAGCTTAGGAGGCTCGGGGTGCAATGGGGCCGACCCACAGGCTCCTCCCCCGGTTGGCGCATGCGCAGCAACCAGGCGCCCCACCGCAGCACCACCACCTGCACCTTTGCAGAAAGGAGAGAGAGAAAGAGAAACAGATACAGACGGAAGGAAACGGGAACTCCGTTCACTAGGGGAGGAGAGGAAACAGCATACGTACACACACAAACACACACATATATTATAATAATATAATGTAATATAATATATTGTATATACATATAATATTTATAATATACTGTAATATAATATTATAATGTAATATAATATAATAGTATTATATTATATTATAATGTAATACAATATAATACTAATAATGATATATTATAATTATATATTTATATTACATGTAATATTACTAATAATATTACAATATAACGGTGTAGTACAATATAGGAATATTTAATACTAATATTGTACTATGTTAAATAATATAATATATTGTATGTATATATATATCTTGTAAGCCGCTCTGAGTCCCCTTTGGGGTGAGAAAGGGCGGCATATAAATGCCGTATGTATATATATCATTTGCATGGTGAGTTAGGAGGAATACACACACACACACACACACATATATATATGGCATGGGCATATATGGTTCCAAATTGGCTTACAAAACTAGGGGGCGCTGGTGCTTTGCTTCTAAAGTCTTGCTAAAGTTCTGGGGGTGAAAATTTCAGAACTCTAACAAAACTTTCAAAATTTCGTTAGAAATTTCATAAAGGGACATGTCCAAGAGTCCTGACAATGTCCTCCACCAACACCACACTGCCCACCACCCAAGGGAAGGCTTTCATTTCAAGGGAAGGCTTTCGTTCCTCCACCACAGAMATCCCAGTGTTCCTGACTCTCTCCATTGGTGTGGAAGGCTTTCATAAAGGGACGTGTCCAAGAGCCCTGACAATGTCCTCCACAAACACCACACTGCCCACCACCCAAGGGAAGCCTTCCACCCAAGGGAAGGCTTTCATTCCTCCACCACAGACATCCCAGTGTTCCTGACTCTCTCCATTGGTGTGGAAGGCTTTCATAAAGGGACATGTCCAAGAGCCCTGACAATGTCCTCCACCAACACCACACTACCCACCACCCAAGGGAAAGCTTTCATTCCAAGGGAAGGCTTTCATTCCTCCACCACAGACATCCCAGTGTTCCTGAATCTCTCCATTGGTGTGGAAGGCTTTCATAAAGGGACATGTCCAAGAGCCCTGACAATGTCCTCCACCAACACCACACTGCCCACCACCCAAGGAAAGCCTTCCACCCAAAGGAAGGCTTTCATTCCTCCACCACAGACATCCCAGTGTTCCTGACTCTCTCCATTGGTGTGGCTGGCTTTCATAAAGGGGCCATATGTTTCCCCTGGTTTTGCGACCTCCAAGGGGACTTACCCATCGGGGCATGCAACCGCCGTCGGGGTCGTGGTGGTGGTACTGAAGGACGAAGACCGTGGCCACCACCGAGAGGGCCACCATGGTCATGGTCATGACGAAGTATTGCCCTGCAGCGGGGACAGAGAGGCAATCGTTACCACAAATGATAGTGTCGAAGGATTTCATGGCTGGAATCACTGAGCTGTTGTCGGTTTTTCGGGCTGTATGACCATGTTCCAGAAGCATCCTCTCCTGACATTTCACCTGCATCTGTGGCAAGCATCCTCAGAGGCTATATACCTTCATGAGGAGTGTGGGCGGGGCTATACCTCCATGAGGAGTGTGGGCGGGGCTTCCACCAAAATGTATCTTAGAGTTCTAGAAGATTCTGAACAGACTGCGCAGGCACAGGAAATACCATATGTGCAATTTCACAGAGACCACAAAGGAGAACCTGGAGTGTGGGCAGGGCTTCCGCCAAAGTGTAACTTAGAATTCTAGAAGATTCCGAAGTGATTGCGCAGGCGCAGGAAATACCATATGTGCAATTTCACAGAGACCACAATGGAGAACCTGGAGTGTGGGCGGGGTGTCCGCCAAAATGTATCTTAGAGTTCTAGAAGATTCCGAACTGACTGCGCAGGCGCAGGAAATACCGTATGTGCAATTTCACAGAAACCACAATGGAGAACCTGGAGGTGGGCGGGGCTTCCGCCAAAGTGTATCTTAGAATTCTAGAAGATTCCGAACAGACTGCGCAGGTGCAGGAAATACCGTATGTGCAATTTCACAGAGACCACAATGGAGAACCTACAACAACCCAGGAAAAACGATGTCGTATCTTTCTACGAACACCTGGAGACCACCTTTTGAAAACCACTAGTCAAGGAAAGGCGTGACCTTGTTAGAAGTCAACTCTGATGTTCACAAGCATTCGTGTAATGGCACACAGGTAACTCAGCTGTTAAACTGATAAACCATGTCTTTGAACTGCCAGGGACAAAGACATGCCACTGCATAAAAATATATATACTTGGCTAGCAGAGTCTTGAAAATGTTTCTCTGAAGTTCTTCCACGCACCACAAACACACCACGTACCTATCAGTGGGATGGAGTCCGAAGTGGCGGGCATGACCTCTGCGACCAGTAGCATGAAGACGGTGAGTGATAGGAGGACGGTGATCCCTGAGAGCAGAAGCAGAGACACGGGGTAGGTTACTTGGATACAATTTAATTTGAATTACACTACAACCTACACTAAGGAACCCTACATCCTCAGGAGAAATATTTCTGGGCATAAAATGATACTCACTCTACATCTTGGTTTAGTTTGGAGGAGGGCGGACCATGGACGATGGGACTTGCAGTAGCTTCACTCATTTCTTGGGACCACTGTGACCCACACCAATGATTGATCAAGAGCAAACTTGTCACACAGAGGCCCCATGACCCACTCAACATTCTGGTGCGGGTTGGGGGAGGGTGGACCATGGAAGATGGGACATGTAGTACCTTCACTCACTCCCAGAGATCACTGCAACCCACACCAATGACTGATCAAGAGCAAACTTGGCACAAAGAGGCCCCATGACCCACTCAACTTTCTAGTGCAGTTTGGGGGAGGGTGGACCACAGAAGATGGGACATGTAGTACCTTCACTCACTTTGAGACTACTGTGAACCTCATCCATTGACCAATAAGGACCAAACTTGGCATACAGAGCCCCCATGACCCACTCTACATCCTGGTGTAGTTTGAAGAAGGGCGGACCATAGGTGATGGGACTTGCAGTACCTTCACTCACTTCCTAAGACCACTGTGAACCTCATCCATTCACCGATAAAGCCCAAACTTTGCACACAGAGCCCCCATGGCCCACTCTACATCCTGCTGCAGCTGGGAGGAGGGTGGACTATGGATGATGGGACTTGCGGTACTTTCAGTCACTTCCTGAGACCACTGCAACCCACACCAATGACTGATCAAGAGCAAACTTGGCACACAGAGCCCTCATGGCCCACTCTATGTCTGGGTGGGGTTTGTGGGCCAATGGACCATGGATGATGGGACTTGCAGTACTTTCAGTCACTTCCTGAGACCACTGCAACCCACACCTATGACTGATCATAGGAATTTGCATGACCCTCACCCGCCCACTGCCTCTCCCTTAACCCTTTCCTATTATTTTCTATTGCACACAGCAAACAGAGGCATATACATCCTACTTGCCTAGTTTCTAACAGACCTCACAACCTCTGAGGATGTAGGCAAAACAGCAGGAGAGAATGCTTCCCAAACATGGCCGGACAGCCCGGAAAACTCACATCAACCCAGTGAGTCCAGCCATCAAAGCCTTTGACAATACATTAAAACATAGTAAACAAGATAAACAAGAGCCAAAGGTCTAGCCGAAGCTGTAGATTCTGTCTACAAAAATGTAATCCTCGAAATTTCTCCCGTTACTCGGGCTCATAACGTCAAAGCGGAAGCACTGCCTTTCTCATTCCTGAAACTCCCGATGAGGTTTTGCGCCCCTCACCCAGAGAAATCTTCTCCCCGGAGTCGGCCGGCAAAAGGAAGACGAGGAACGTCATGGCGGACAGCAGCAGGCAGGGGACCAGCATGTTGAGGGCGTAGTAAAGCGTCCGCCGGCGCATCGTCACCGCAAAGGTGACGTCCAGGTAGGGTTCCCGGCAACATTCATAGAAGACCTTGTTCTGAGTGCCTGGAACACCTGCAAGGATCGGGAAGAGACGGCACCGCTATGAATGGGGTTCGGCTGTCTTTTTGTTAAACCAACCAAACTCCTCTTACCATTATAGAAGTCTAGCATGTCTACTCAGCGTTGCCCAGCTGTCACTGGAACCACTGCTTGCCTACTTTCTCCCTTACCCAGCTCTGAGAAGGTCTACCTCAAAATGTCTCCCATTGTCCATTCTGGCAAAATAATTACCTCACAGAGCTGGAAGGCTTTAATTCAAAAGCATGCCTTAGGGAATGCAACAAAATTCCAACTGCCAGTTCAATACACGGTAATGTTATGTAGCAATGCATTAGGGAATGCAGCAAAATTCCAACTGCCAGTTTATTTCCCTCACAAAATTCCAACTGCCAGTTCAATACATGGTAACGTTATGTAGCAATGCATTAGGGAATGCAACAAAATTCCAACTGCCAGTTCATTTCCCTCACAAAATTCCAACTGCCAGTTCAATACACGGTAATGTTATGTAGCAAAGCAAAATTCCAACTGCCAGTTCAATACACGGTAATGTTATGTAGCAATGCAGTAGGGAATGCAACAAAATTCCAACTGCCAGTTTATTTCCCTCACAAAATTCCAACTCCCAGTTCAATACACGGTAACGTTATGTAGCAATGCATTAGGGAATGCAACAAAATTCCAACTGCCAGTTCATTTCCCTCACAAAATTTCAACTGCCAGTTCAATACATGGTAACGTTATGTAGCAATGCATTAGGGAACGCAACAAAATTCCAACTGCCAGTTCAATACACGGTAACGTTATGTAGCAATACATTAGAGAATGCAACAAAATTCCAACTGCCAGTTCATTTCCCTCACAAAATTCCAACTGCCAGTTCAATAAATGGTAACGTTATGTAGCAGTGCATTAGGGAACACAACAAATTTACAAATTTAGCACCAAAACAGACAAGGGCACACTGGACTCCGCTAGATAATACAGAATGTTGGATGAGCGAAGGTCGGATAAGTGAGACTCTACTGTTTACACAGGCCGTACATAAGGCATGGTCTACTTTCCTGGCTTCACACAAAACCAGGAAATGAGGTCACGACACACATGTCTTTCTGGCAATGGTGGGCAGGCAGAACTAATGCAGTTCGATACCACTTGAACTGCTGTGGGCTCAATGCTAAACCATCAAGGGAGTTGTAGTTTGAGGCAGAGAAGGATAAACAAGAACTCCCAGCATTCACAGTACGGGGCCACAGCGGTTCAAAGCAGTGCCCTGCTAGGATCGCTTACCCACGAGGTCCCACTCTCCGTTGGCCACGTAGCCGGAGGTGTCCGACTCCATCATGCGCAGGTCCAGGAGCCACCCATCGTAGGTCCAGGAGCCAAACTTGAGGTCGCACTTCTGGGTGTCGAAGGGGAACCAGCGCACGTCGATCCGGCAGGTGCTTTTCAGGATGCCTTCCAAAGGAGGGAGGAAACAGACCCCCACAAAATGAGCAGAGAGCACTTCAAAACATTTACACAAATCTTCAGCCACTGCCAGAACGAACAGAGAGTTTCATCTATGCTTACGATCATGCCATCACCACTCAAGCAGAAAGCTTTGAAAGAGTTGAACAGAAGCTTTAGGTGCCCTTATGGCTTATTACGGGGAAAACCACCTGAGCAGAGAGCACTTCAAACATTGACACAAATGAGCAGCCATTGCCAGAAGGGACAGAGAGTTTCATCTACGCTGACGATCATGCCATCACCACTCAAGAAGGGAGCTTTGAAAGAGTTGAACAGAAGCTTTAGGTGCCCTTACTGCCTATTACGGGGAAAACCAACTGAGCAGAGAGCACTTCAAACATTGACACAAATGAGCAGCCATTGCCAGAAGGGACAGAGAGTTTCATCTACGCCGAGGATCATGCCATCACTGCTCAAGCTTTGAAATGGTTGAGCAGAAGCCCTCCGAAACTCTCCCCAAACCCGAACCTCACACACAGCAGTCTCCAACCTGATCCTTATTTTATCAAATTTTTTTGGAGGGGGGGTGAGATACTCCAAATTCTGACATCCAAATACATCTCACCTGGAGGAAGCCATTGACAATATCCACTGGAGTTGACCAAGACGTGAGTGTGGAAAGTGGAGTCGAACTCCTCATTGGCACTGGAAGAGACATTGAGAAACAAGTCTCATTAGGGACACACACACACATATTCAAAAGCATGCATTAGGGAAGGCAACAAAATTCCAACTGCCAGTTCATTTCCCTCACAAAATTCCAATTGCCAGTTCATTTCCCCTATCCTTCACACACTGCATAAGCTGCATTCTCTGCACAGAAAGTTCCCTGTGCAGAGACTGACACTCGTACCCAACCCACCTGTTGTACAAAAGGATGTCCGGCTTCCAGACGCTGTCCGGCGTAAAACGCAGGGTCTTCACGCCGGGGTATTCCGACTCGTTCCACCGCAAATAGTGATCGTACCAATACTGAAAGAAGGAGAAAGCAGCTGTCAAAGAGCCGCACCAATAGTTTGGAGTGTTTTCCAAAAATAAATAAAAGATGCAAGACACTGTCACTGTTGGAACCAATTTGCCCCGACAGCTGTGTGTTGTTGTTATGTGCAATTTTGTCAGCACTGATTGTTTTTAAGTGTAGGCCAAGGTCTTTTGGTCAGCAAGTTTAGAAGCTCAGTGGTGTAACCTGCTGCGCTACTAGAGGGCTCCTCTATTACTACTACTACTACTACTACTACTATTATTATGTAAAACGTCATAACTGTTGGCACTAGTTTGCCCACAGAGGTCTATTATTATTATTATTATTATTATTATTATTATTATTATTTATTAAAGATGCTATCACTGTTGGTACCACTTTGCCACCATAGCCGCCTATTATTATTATTATTGTTATTACTACTACTATTATTGTATTATGTAAGACGCCACCACTGTTGGCACCAGTTTGCTGCCATAGCTATCTATTATTATTATGATTATTGTTACTACTACTACTACTACTACTACTATTATTATTATTATATTATGTAAGACGCCACCACTGTTGGCACCAGTTTGCCGCCATAGCTATCTATTATTATTATGATTATTGTTATTACTACTACTATTATTATATTATGTAAGATGCCACCACTGTTGGCACCAGTTTGTCCCCATAGCTGCCTATTAATATTATTATTATTATTATTATTACTATTACTATTACTATTATTATTATATTATGTAAGACACCACCACTGTTGCGCCAGTTTGCCCCCATAGCTACCTATTACTACTACTACTACTACTACTACTACTACTACTATTTTATGTAAGATGCCACCACTGTTGGCACCAGTTTGCCGCCATAGCTACCTATTGTTATTGTTACTACTACTACTACTATTATTATATTATGTAAGATGCCACCATTTTTGCCACCAGTCTGCCACCATAGCTACCTATTATTATTATTGTTATTACTACTACTATTATTATATTATGTAAGACACCACCACTGTTGGCACCAGTTTGCCCCCATAGCTACCTATTACTACTACTACTACTACTACTACTACTATTATTATATTATGTAAGATGCCACCACTGTTGGCACCAGTTTGCTGCCATAACTACCTATTATTACTACTACTACTACTACTACTATTACTATATGATGTAAGATGCCACCACTGTTGGCACCAGTTTACTGCCATAACTACCTATTATTATTATTATTACTACTATTACTACTACTACTACTATTATTTTATGTCAGGTGCCACCACTGTTGGCACCAGTTTGCCGCCATAGCTACCTATTGTTATTATTGTTATTATTACTACTACTATTATTACATTATGTAAGATGCCACCACTCTTGGTTCCAAACCGGCGCTATTTGGAGCTTCTCGCGACACAAACCGGAGGACATCTTGGATCCTCCACCTTTTCCAACACCCCTTAAACTACGTCTTACCATCTGCAGCCAGACGTTGGTGGTCAGGACTTGATTCTTCTCATCCTAAAAAAAAGGAAAAAGAGATTGATGTCTCAACCTCAGAGGAAGGCGATGGCAAAAAAATCCCTCCAAACTGGATCAAATCCACGTCTGCTTACCACGTCCATGATCTGCATTAAGCTCAGTGTGAAATGGATGGTGATGGGCTGGGCATCGTCCCCCACCGGCCTTTCTAGTGGAGTGTAGTCCTCCATCAGGTCCTTCAGCAGCTGCCGTTGGTGGAACCCCCCTTGGGATCCTGAGAAAACAGACAGAGGAAAGGTCTCCGGTGTTTGCATCACACTGAAATACAACACCGCCTGAGCTCTGCGAGTGCAGCATACTCTCCTGACGTTTCGCCTGCATCTATGGCAGGCATCCTCAGAAGTTGCGAGGTCTGTTGGAAACTAGGATATAGCTTCTAATGGTGTCACATTAGAAAATGTGGACCATTTCCGCTCCCTTGGCAGCCACCTCTCCACAAAAGTGAACATTGACACTGAAATACAACATCACCTGAGCTCTGCGAGTGCAGCATTTTCCCGAATGAAGCAGAAAGTGTTTGAGGACCAGGACATCCGTAGGGATACTAAGATGCTTGTTTATAAAGCTATTGTCTTCCCAATTCTGCCATACACCTGTGAAACGTGGACTGTCTACAGACGTCAACATTGACACCGAAATACAACACCGCCTGAGCTCTGCGAGTGCAGCATTTTTCCGAATGAAGCAGAGAGTGTTTGAGGACCAGGACATCCATAGGAATACTAAGGTGCTTGTTTATAAAGCTATCGTCATCCCAATTCTGCCATACTCCTGGGAAACGTGGACTGTCTACAGACGTCAACATTGACACTGAAATACAACACCGCCTGAGCTCTGCGAGTGCAGCATATTCTTTATCTTATGCTGGGGAGAGAGGAACAGTCCCCAAAGTATTGTCAAAGGCTTTAATGGCCAGAATCACTGGGTTTCTGTGAGTGCTCCCTGGCCATGTTCCAGAAGCATTCTCTCCTGACGTTTCTCCCCATCTATGGCAGGCATCCTCAGAGGTTGTGAGGTCTGTTGGAAACTAGGATATAGCTTCTAATGGTGTAACATTAGAAAATGTGGACCATTTCCGCTCCTTCGGCAGCCACCTCTCTACAAAAGTCAACACTGACACTGGAATACAACACCGCCTGAGCTCTGCGAGTGCAGCATATCCTTTATCTTATGCTGGGTAGAGAGGAACAAGCACTGGGATTGTGGCGTAGCTGGCTGAGTGTCAGCTGCATCAAGATCACTCTGACCAAAAGGTCATGAGTTCGAAGCCAGCCCGGGTTGGAGTGCGTTTCCAACCAATTGTGTAGCCTGTTGTCGACCTTTGCAACCTGAAAGACAGTTGCATCTGTCAAATAGGAAAATTAGATACTACCTTAAAGTATGGGGAGGCTAAATTAACTAATTTATGAGGCCATAAAAAAAAAAGACTCCAGCAAGCATTCCAGCGGGGAAGCATGCGGGGAATGTGGAAGTGCTTCATCAGTGTCGCAGATGGACGATGAAAGCGACAGCTCCCCTGGCGGCCAGGAAAAAGTTAAATAGCCTCTGTGTATGTCTGTATATGTTGTATGTCAAAATTGGCATTGAATGTTTGCCATATATGTGTATACTGTAATCCGCCCTGAGTCCCCTGCGGGGTGAGAAGGGCGGAATATAAATGCTGCAAATAAATAAATAATGAATAAACAGTCCCCAAAGTATCGTCAAAGGCTTTAATGGCCAGAATCACTGGGTTTCTGTGAGTGCTCCCTGGCCACGTTCCAGAAGGAGTACATCCACTCACTTCCCGAGACCACTGCAACCCTCATCCAATGACTGAGCAAGACCAAACTTGGCACACAGAGCCCCCATGACCCACTCTCCATTCTGGTGCAGTTTGGAGGAGGATGGACCACAGATGATGGGACTCGCAGTGTGTTGTTGTTGTTGTTGTTGTTGTTCATTCGTTCAGTCGTCTCCGACTCTTCGTGACCTCATGGACCAGTCCACGCCAGAGCTCCCTGTCGGCCGTCACCACCCCCAGCTCCTTCAAGGTCAGTCCAGTCACTTCAAGGATGCCATCCATCATGCCCTTGGTCGGCCCCTCTTCCTTTTTCCTTCCATTTCCAGCATCATTTTCTTCTCTAGGCTTTCCTGTCTCCTCATGATGTGGCCAAAGTACTTCAACTTTGTCTCTAGTATCTTTCCCTCCAGTGAGCAGTCGGGCTTTATTTCCTGGAGGATGGACTGGTTGGATCTTCTCGCAGTCCAAGGCACTCTCAGCACTTTCCTCCAACACCACAGCTCAAAAGCATCGATCTTCCTTCGCTCAGCCTTCCCGAAGGTCCAGCTCTCTCATCCGTAGGTGACTACAGGGAATACCATGGCTTTGACTAGGCAATGGATCTTTGTTGCCAGTCTGATGTCTCTACTCTTTATTATTTTATCGAGATTGGACATTGCTCTCCTCCCAAGAAGTAAGCGTCTTCTGATTTCCTGGCCACAGTCTGCATCTGCAGTCATCTTTGCACCTAGAAATACAAAGTCTGTCACGGCCTCCACATTTCTCCCTCTATTTTCCAGTTGTCAATCATTCTTGTTGCCATAATCTTGGTTTTTTTATGATTAGCTGCTGCAACCCCGCCAGGGCCCTAAGATCTTCTGGAGAGTCCCTGCTCTCTATCCCGCCGGCTTCCCAAGCGCGGCTGGTGGGAACGAGAGACAGGGCCTTTTCTGTGGTAGCCCCTCGGCTTTGGAACACCCTCCCTTCAGAGATACGATCGGCTTCTTCGCTGATGGTTTTCCGGAAGAGGTTAAAAACATGGCTGTGTAGTCAAGCGTTTAACTAGTTATCAAACACTGAATCCATGGACAATTTGGACTGGTCAATTACGGACAACGATCTCTGGACTGCGATTTTTGTGATGAGAAGCATGGTGTTATTATTGGTGGCCCAATAATGTGTATTGTTTTTAAGTGTTGCTGTTTTAAATTGTATACTGTTTTTTAACCTGTTGTTAAACCGCAATGAGTCGCCGTTCCGGCTGAGATATTGCGGTATATAAGTGTATTAAATAAATAAATAAATAAATAAAACTGGGTTTCTTCTTTCACCTTGATTAGAAGGCTCCTCAGCTCCTCCTCGCTTTCGGCCATCAGAGTGGTGTCATCTGCATATCTGAGGTTGTTAATGTTTCTTCCAGCAATTTTCACCCCAGCTTTGAATTCATCAAGCCCCGCACATCGCATGATGTGTTCTGCATACAAGTTAAAAAGGTTGGGTGAGAGGATGCAGCCTTGCCGGACGCCTTTCCCAATCTTGAACCAGTCTGTTGTTCCGTGGTCAGTTCTGACTGTTGCTCCTTGGTCCTTGTACAGATTCCTCAGGAGAGAGGGAAGGGGGCTTGGGGTGCCCATCCCACTAAGAACTTGCCACCATTTATTATGATCCACACAGTCAAAGGCTTTAGAATAGTCAATGAAGCAGAAGTAGATGTTTTTCTGAAACTCCCTGCCTTTCTCCATTCTCCAGCATCCGGATATTGGCAATCTGGTCTCTGGTTCCTCTGCCTTTTCTAAACCCAGCTTGAACATCTGGCAACTCTCGCTCCATGTATTGCTGGAGTCTTCCTTGCAGGATCTTGAGCATGACTCGCAGTACCTTCACTAAATCCCTGAGACCCTTGCGAGCCATATAAATAACTGATAAAGACCAACCTTGATACACAATTCCTTTCTCAAATAACCCGGGCAACGCCGGGTCCCCAAGCTAGTAAATAAATAAAGCTGAAGATGCATCTACACCGTAGGATTAATGCAGTTTGGCACCACTATGTGATGGAATCCTGGGAGTTGTAGTTCGGGTAGAGAAGGCTCACAATCTTGTTAAACCACAACTCTCAGGATTCCAGCACATATTATACAGAAGAGACCCCAAGGGCTATCTAGTCCAACCCCTTCTGCAATGCAGCAGGACACAATCCAAGGACACAATCCAAGCCCTCCTGACAGATGGCCATCTGGGCTCTGTACAAAACTTCCCGGCAGCTGCAGGAAGGGAAAAGAGGGGCGAGTTTTGCAAAATTCCACGTTCAGAGTTTATGTTTTGTCATTGAATGGGCTTCGATTTATGGTGGGGGGAAAAATGTGCAAAACGAGCCAGAAACCAGCAGATTTGAAATGCGCTGGAGAGCAGTGATGGGGTTGCCAGAAAACAGACCCATAAATAAAGGCATCTGAGAGCAAAACCAAAGATTCCTAGAAGACAAAATGACTCAATTGCACTTGGCGCGCTCAACAGTAAAAGGAAGAAAGAACTCTCGTGCCAATGTTGCAACTGATCACCTTGATTCGCATTGAAAAGCCTTGCAGCGTCAAGGCTTGGCTGCTTCCTGCCTGGGGGAATCCTTTGTTGGGAGGTGATTAGCTGGCCCTGATGGTTTCTTGTCTGGAACATCCCCCTGCTTGAGGCAAGTGTGAAAGTTGCAACTCACTCGCCTCAGGAAGCAGCCAGGCTTTCAAGCTGCAAGGCCATTCGGTGCTAATCAAGCTGGCCAATGGCAACATACACACATGCGTCCAGCAGAGAAGAGTTCTTTCTCCCACCCTGGACATCACTCCACAGATAAATAAACCCCACTTGCCTTGTTTCCAACGGACCTCACATCTGTGGATGCCTGCCATAGATGTGGGCGAAACATCAGGAGAGAATGCTTCTGGAACATGGCCAGACAGCTCGGAGGACTCACAACAATCCACCAATTTGATGTTTCTATTGTCTGTTTGAGGCAAGTGTGAATGTTGCAATTGGTCACCTCGATTAGCATTGAATGGCTTTGCAGCTTCAAAGCCTGGCTGCTTCCTGAGACAAGTGTGAATGGCAACATTCGCATTCGCGTCCAGTAGAGAAGAGTTCTTTCTCCCACCCTGGACACCATTTCACAGATATTGTGAGGTCAGCTGGAAACTAGGCAAGTGGGAGTGAAACGTCAGGAAAGAATGCTACTAGAACATGGCCAGACAGAAAACTCACAACAATCCACCAATTTGATGCTTTATCAAGTGTTTGAGGCAAATGTGAATGACACAAGTGGCCACCTCGATTAGCATTGAATGGCCTTGCAGTTTCAAAGCCTGGCTGCTTCCTGAGACAAGTGTGAATGGCAACGTTCACATTTGCATCCAGTAGAGAAGAGTTCTTTCTTCCACCCTGGACATTGTGAGGTTGTGAGGTCAGTTGGAGACTAGGCAAGTGGGAGTGAAACCTCAGGAGAGAATGCTACTAGAACATGGCCACAGCCCAGAAAACTCACAACAATCCACCAATTTGATGCTTTACCCAGTGTTTGAGGCAAATGTGAATGTTGCAATTGGCCACCTCGATTAGCACTGAATGGCCTTGCAGCTTCAAAGCCTGGATGCCTCCTGAGACGAGAGTGAGTTGCAACATTCACATTCGCGTCCAGTAGAGAAGAGTTCTTTCTCTGACCCTGGACATCATTCCACGGATATTGGGAGGTTGTGAGGTTAGTTGGAAACTAGGCAAGCGGGGGTGAAACTTCAGGAGAGAATGCTACTGAAAAATCACAGCAACCCAACTCCCGCAGTGTGTTGATAAAGCGAAAGAGGGATGGAAGGAAAGCATTCTGAGGTCAGTTGGAAACTAGGCAAGTGGGGGTGAAACGTCAGGAAAGAATGCTACTAGAACATGAAAACTCCCAGCAACCCAACTCCCACGGTGTGTTGACGAAGCGAAAGAGGGGGGGAAGGAAGGCATTGTGAGGTCAGTTGGAAACTAGGCGTGGGGGTGAAACGTCAGGAGAGAATGCTACTAGAACATGCCCTGAAAACTCCCAGCAACCCAACTCCCGCGGTGTGTTGACAAAGCGAAAGAGGGAGGGAAGGAAGGCATTGTGAGGTCAGTTGGAAACTAGGCAAGTGGGGGTGAAACGTCAGGAGAGAGTGCTACTAGAACATGACAACTCACAGCAACCCAACTCCTGCGGTGTGTTGGGAGGGAAGAGCGAAAGAGGGAGGGAAGGAAAGCACTGTGAGGTCAGTTGGAAACTAAGCAAGTGGGGGTGAAACGTCAGGAGAGAGTGCTACTAGAACATGCCTTGGGAGGGAAGGAAGGCATTGTGAGGTCAGTTGGAAACTAGGCAAGTGGGGGTGAAATGTCAGGAGAGAGTGCTACTAGAACATGAAAACTCCCAGCAACCCAATACCCGCGGTGTGTTGACAAAGCGAACGAGGGAGGGAAGGAAGGCAAAGAAGGGCAGGAGATGCTCCTGTTTGAAATGCAAGACCCTAAGCCGAACTGACAAGGCTCGGCCTCCTTCCGAAGGAACCCAAGGCTCTGCATCAAATCCAACCTGGCAAGCATAAAAAGTCATCCCAAGCGATGGAAGGAGAGCGTTCTGAAGCAAAAGGGCAGCTCGGGTTTGGAAAGCAAGAGATAGGAAAGCAAGAGACAGGAAAGCATGCACAAAAAGACACACAATGCTGCAAAACTGCAGGAAGGGAAAAGCGGGGTGAGTTCGGAACCGAAAGTGGAGCGGAGTCTCAAATCTTCTGATTGAGAAGGAACATCCATCTTGTTTAGGAACACAAAACATCCCAAAGATCTCTGATCCACGGTGGAATCGAGAGAAAACTAGATCTTGGAGACGTCGTTCGCATCCTAATTTCCCGACTCAAATGTCTCGAAAGTGATCTATAATTGACGCCGACGGGAAATGGAGCGATTTGGACACATCCCAACCCATCCGAAAGCCAAGATTACGGTACCTTGGATGAGGAGGAGAACGCCGAAGGCACAAATCCAGAGGGACGAGGAGGCCATGGCCGCGGTGCCAACTAGTCCATCCTCTTCTCCGCGGACGAAGGATGCGCCGCTCGCAACAGGATCTTTATTTAGACAGCGTTCGGGGAGGAGGCGGAGGCGAGCGAAGCATCCGCTGGACAGTCTTCCGCTCGCATTAATGTGTCGCTTTCGCCGGAGAGGCATCAAAGGGGCGGCACCTAAATAATGGGAAGGATACGGGGCATTAATCCCCCCCTGTCGAGAGTCCGTGGGAGATTATACAAAACAGACAAGGAACGGGTAAACAAGAGAGTGGCTTAGCGAGAGTGCGGATCAGTATTCCCGACACACAGAGTGGCAAAAAAAGCAAAAAAGGGGATCTCAAATCTTTGAATGAAAAGTAATGCCCCCACCTTCGTTGCTTGGGTATGGATGGGAATATTTTTAATAAATCAAATGTTGAAATAATCCTTAGAATGTGCTCTTGAATTACCACTATTTATTTTCCACATAATCACCAGACAATTGGATACATTTCTGCGAAGGATGAACAAGTTTTCTGAAGCCGTCACGGAAGAAGTCTGTGTGCTTTCATTTCAGGCGTCAGCATCCTGGGTACCCATTGTGCACTGATCTTCCGATAGCCAAGCAAAGCAATAATGTGACTCACACATAATCACCAGACAATTGGATACATTTCTGCCAAGGATGAGCAAGTTTTCTGAAGCCGTCACGGAAGAAGTCTGTGTGCTTTCATTTCGGGCGTCAGCATCGTGGGTACCCATCGTGCACAGATCTTCCGATAGCCAAGCAAAGCAATAATGTGACCCACACACAATCGCCAGACAGTTGGATACATTTCTGCCAACGATGAACAAGTTTTCTGAAGCTGTCACAGAAGAAGTCGACACTCTTGTTTCCACATAATAACCAGACAATTGGATACATTTCTGCCAAGGATGAACAAGTTTTCTGAAGCTGTCACGGAAGAAGTCTGTGTGCTTTCATTTCAGGCGTCAGCATCCTGGGTACCCATTGTGCACAGATCTTCCGAGAGCCAAGCAAAGCAATAATGTGACCCACACATAATCACCAGACAATTGGATACATTTCTGCCAACGATGAACAAGTTTTCTGAAGCCGTCATGGAAGAAGTCGACACTCCGTTTCCGCAACTAGTGTCAGCATCCTGGGTACCCATCGTGCACAGATCAACTACCACTATTCACATTTCCACATAATCACCAGACAATTGGATACATTTCTGCCAATGATGGACAAGTTTTCTGAAGCCGTCAGGGAAGAAGTCGACACTCTGTTTCCGCAACCAGCGCCAGCATCCTGGGTACCCATCGTGCACAGATCTTCTGATAGCCAAGCAAAGCAATAATGTGACCCACACATAATCACTAGACGATTGGATACATTTCTGCCAATGATGAACACGTTTTCTGAAGTTGACACTCTGTTTCCACAACCAGCGTTTCACAGTTCTCTCATCCTGGGTACCCATCGTGCACGGATCTTCCGATAGCCAAGCAAAGCAATAATGTGACCCACACACAATCACCAGACAATTGGATACATTTCTGCCAATGATGAACAAGTTTTCTGAAGTCTACACTCTGTTTCTGCAACCAGCGTCAGCATCCTGGGTACCCATCATTTTCTCCATGTGATCACCAGACAATCGGATACATTTCTCCCAACAATGAACAAGTTTTCTGAAGCCGTCACGGAAGAAGTCGACACTGTTTCTGCAACCAGTGTCTCACAGTTCTCTCATCCTGAGTACCCATCGTGCACAGATCTTCCGATAGCCAAGCAAAGCAACAATGTGACCCATGCGTTCTTGCGAAATGCCAATTATGATTGACATTTCTCCCTGAGTGATATGACGATCGTCCTGAATAAATGTGTCAACTACCACTAATCACTTTTCCACATAATCACCAGACGATTGGATAAATTTCTGCCAACAATGAACAAGTTTTCGGAAGCCGTCATGGAAGAAGTCGACACTCTGTTTCCGCAACCAGCGTCTCACAGTTCTCTCATCCTGGGTACCCATCGTGCACAGATCTTCCAATAGCCAAGCAAAGCAATAATGTGACCCACACATTCTTGTGAAATACTAATTATGCTTGAAATTACTCTCTGAGTGATATGATCATCTTGAATCAATCTGTCAACCTTTTGCTTGTGAAACTTGGTGGTTGCTGTCACAGGATGTCCAACTCTTTGTCATGCAAGTCAGATGCTCCCACCTCAACATCTTTGAACGTACTCGCCCAACGACGCACAGGACTAACATCAACACAATCACCATCAAAAGCTTGCATTCTCTGTTGAATCTCCTTTGGGGTGACACCTTCTGCTGTCAAGAATTCAATGAATGCATGTTGCCTAAGTCGCCTTGACCGACCGTCTGCACAGGGTTCCATACTTCACACTTTCACAACACAACTGTTCAATGCTAAGGCTTCCCGCCAAAATGGAACTGTAGAGGAGAGTCTACTGAACAAGCCAGTACCTGCCGTATACTAGTAGTGCTATCTGTTGAGGAGTTACAAAGGTGGAGGCATTACTTTTCATTCAACCCTCGTGTGTGTGTACTCAACTTGGGGGTTGGGACCCTGGGGCGGGTGGGTTTGCAAAGCAACGCAAAGCCCAAACACAAAAATGCTTGGGTGGGAATGAACGCCAGCCCAGTGTTCGCTGCCCAAATTGCTGCCGAGGAAGGCAAGGCTGGCCACTGGGTGTCGAGATGGCGTTCAAGGGACTCTTGACGCGTCTTAAGCAGGCGCATGGGATGCGCACAAATATCCCCGGGAGAGGCTGTGCGAGAAGTCATTTCTCTTCCCCTTCAAATCAATTCCAATGAAGAGTGGCTTTAGGCTAAGTTTTCTTGGCAGGACTTCTTCAGAGGCCTTCATCTGAGTCACTCTGCCATGTAATCCACTTGCGTCTACGTGGCGGTATAATCCAGTTGTGTCTACACTGCCATACTACCCAGCTGCATCTATGCTGCCATCGTTCCCAGCTGCATTTACACTGTCATATTATCCAGTTGTGTCTACACTGCCATATAACCCTGTGCGTCTACACTGCCATATAATCCAGTTGCGTCTACTCTGACATATTTTGCAGTTGTGTCCACACTGCTGTACAATCCAGTTGCATCTACGCTGCCATATAATCCAGTTGCGTCTACTCTGCAAAATAATCCAGTTGCGTCTACACTGCCATATAATCCAGTTGCGTCTACTCTGACATATTATGCAGTTGTGTCCACACTGCTGTACAATCCAGTTGCATCTACACTGCATTATAATCCAGTTGTGTCTACTCTGACATATTACGCAGTGTGTCCACACTTGCGTACAATCCAGTTGCGTCTACTCTGCGATATAATCCAGTTGTGTATACAACCAGTGTCTCACAGTATACACTGCCATATTACCCCATTGCATCTACTCTGCCATATAACCCAGTGCGTCTACACTGCCATATAATCCAGTTGCATCTACTCTGACATATTATGCAGTTGTGTCCACACTGCCGTGCAATCCAGTTGTGTCTATGCTGTGATATAATCCAGTTGCATATACACTGCCATATAATCCAGTTGCATCTATACTGCCCTATAATCTAGTTGCGTTCACACTGCCATATAATCCAGTTGCGTCTACTATGACATATTATGCAGTTGTGTCAACACTGCCGTACAATCCAGTCGCGTCTATGCTGCTATATAATCCATTTGCTTCTACTCTGCGATATAATCCAGTTGCGTATACACTGCCATATTACCCACTTGTGTCTACATTGCCATATTACACAGTTGCATCTACGCTGCCATATAACCCAGTGTGTCTACACTGCCATATAATCCAGTTGCATCTACTCTGCCATATAATCCAGTTGCATCTATGCTGAACTATAATCCAGTTGCGTCCACACAGCCATACAATCCAGTTGCGTCTATGCTTCTATATAATCCACTTGTGTCTACTCTGCAATATAATCCCGTTGCATCTACACTGCCATATTACCCAGTTGCCATTTAATCCAGAGCAGGTAATCCGGATTCAGAAACCAGATTATATGGCAGTGTAGATGGGATCTGAGTCTGAGACCACATCTCAGAGGCTTGAGCAGAGATACTAACTGGTCTTGGCTGAAAACACTCTGTCGACCTCAGTGGCTTGAAAAATTGATTTTCTCAGCCGCCTTTGTTCCCGGTTTGAAAGGGAAGTGCACTCTGTGCATGCTCAGAGGCACTCTTTTTCAAGAGCCATCGGATCTGGTAAGGAAGGCAAGGAAGATCCTTGTTTGGGGCAAGGAGGTTTTGGGGCTGGAGGTGCCCTCCCACTGGCTATATATACTCTCAGGAGAGTGGGCGGGGCTACCACCTAAATACCGTATGTGCGATTCACAGGGACCACGATGGGGAAGGTTTGTTTTCCATGCCTCTCCCTCTCTCTCATTCCCATCTTCCTTCCCACTGCAGCAGAGGCATGGCGGTGCCATTGTGCAGGGAAACAAGGACTGTTTTTCTTTTACTCTGCAGTTTCTTAAGACCCTGGAAGAAGGGGAAAAAACAACAACAACAACGCAAGGAAGAGCTGTAAACGGTCCCTGCTCCGCCAAGCGCCTGGGACTCCCTTCAGGGCCCAGAGCTGTAATTGAAACACAGTTCTTGGCACAAGGACGGCATACAAATGCCAAGCTGAGCATCTTCCGTCCTTCTTTTGGTTGGAAGTCGAGACAGAAATAGGATGCCCTTTGAAAAACATGGCCACCTGAAACTCACCTTGCAGCGACTAAGGTTTCGTAAGATATGAGTGAACATCTATCTCTGTCTTGTGCTCCTCCTTGAGTTGTAAGAAGTGGGTAATTATTATTATTATTATTATTAGTATTATTATTATTATTATTATTATTATTATTTTAATGACACAAAAATGCAGTATGTCACAGCAAATGGGATCTATATGCCTGATTTTGTATCACAAAATCTCAAGTCGAACACTTCCTAAGAATCTAGGACTGTGTACATATTATTATTATTATTGTTGTTGTTGTTGTACTGATACAAAAACACAGTATGTCACAGCAAACGAGATCTATACGCTGGATTTCTTATCACAAAATCACAAGTCGAATGCTTCCCAAGCGTCTAGGACTGTGTACATATTATTATTATTATTATTATTATTATTATTATTATTTTACTGACACAAAAACACAGTATGTCACAGCAAACAAAATCTATATGCTGGGTTTCGTATCACAAAACTACAAGTCGAACACTTCCCAAGTGTCTAGGACTGTGTACACTTTATTATTATTATTATTATTATTATTATTATTACTATTATT